AGCCGTCGGTGAAGCCGCTCAAACGGGCCGCGTGCAGGACCGCTGTGCCCTGCCACGGTGCGTGTGTACCCAGGCAGCTCCGGCACACGTGCACACGCACAGAGCCAGAAGCCCCGTTTCCCCACGGCCCCCACAGGCCCCCACGGGCACAGCACACGGCTGGGCCTCTGAGGCAGGCCACTGGGCTCCAGAACAGCAGGGAGTCCTGTGCTGGGCACACCTGTCCGGCTTGGGTCAGGTGTCGGGGGCCCACAGAGGAGGCCGGGCCTGCACTCGGCACCCCTCTCCGGGCGTGGGGGCGGGCCCCGGTGCGGCAGGTGCGCGGGGCGCCGGCCGAGCGCAGGGCCCCCTCGAATGGACGGGGGAGCCCCGTCGTGGGGAGGGGCCGGGGAGCCTGGGGCTGGGCCAGAGGCCCCGAATGCGGGATGTTCCGCGGGCGCCGCTGCGGGGACAGGAGCGTTGGCTCTGCGTTGGCCCCCAGGCCGAGCACAGACCAGGTGGGGCTCAGGTCGCTGTTGAGAAGCAGCCTGATGACTAACCTGCTCCCGCCCTCGCTCAGAGGCCGGCTGGCCCGCCCTGGCCGTCCAGCTGCCGTTTTGCGGCCCCGCCCTCCAGCTCCCAGCTCCCCACACCCGCTGCCCCAGCCCCAGCCCCAGGCCCAGCCCCAGCCCCAGCCCCAGCCCCAGGCCCAGCCCAGCCCCAGCCCCAGCCCCAGGCCCAGCCCAGCCCCAGCCCCAGCCCCAGCCCAGCCCCAGCCCAGCCCAGCCCCAGCCCCAGCCCCAGGCCCAGGCCCAGCCCCAGCCCCAGCCCCAGCCCCAGCCCCAGCCCCAGCCCCAGCCCCAGCCCCAGCCCCAGCCCCAGGCCCAGCCCCAGCCCCAGCCCCAGCCCCAGGCCCAGCCCCAGCCCCAGCCCCAGCCCCAGGCCCAGCCCCACCCGCCCCAGCCCCAGCCCCAGCCCCAGCCCCAGCCCAGCCCCAGCCCCAGGCCCAGCCCAGCCCCAGCCCCAGCCCCAGCCCAGCCCCAGCCCCAGCCCAGCCCCAGCCCCAGGCCCAGCCCCAGCCCCAGCCCCAGCCCCAGGCCCAGCCTCAGCCCCAGGCCCAGCCCAGCCCCAGCCCCAGCCCAGCCTCAGCCCCAGCCCCAGCCCCAGCCCCAGCCCAGCCCCAGCCCCAGCCCCAGGCCCAGCCCCAGCCCTGCCCCAGCCCCAGGCTGGCTGGAAAGCCTGCTGCTCCCCACATGCCCTGTTCGCAGCTCTGATGCTCGTGTGATGCTGCTGTGGGAGCCCCCACGCACCACCGCGGGCAGAGCCCCCTCCGCAGCCCTGTGCCTGGGTGTGTCTGACCCTCCACCGCCCTGAGCTGGCCTCCCTTTGACCCCCTCCCCCACCCTGCAGGCTGGGTTCAAGCCCAGGAGCCCGGCCCCATGCTCTGTTTCCATAGCAATTTGGAAACGGCGCCTCTGTTCAGTCTGTAGCCGGGGCGTGGCCTGTGGGGTGGAGGGGCGGGCGGCGCCAGGAGCTGGGCAGGGAGGAGCTGGGCCGGGAGCCGGTGCCCTGTGCCCTCTGAGCGAGGCCCGCGCCCTTCCTCCGCCTCGGGTGCCCGGCCGCACGGCGTGGCGTTGCCCGTGGCGCCGGGGCCTGTGTGGGGGCGGTGGGGCGAGGTTGGGGCGTGGGGTGCCTCTCCGCTGCACGCAGGGGCTGACTGAGCCACGGGGGGCCGGGAGCAACTTCACAGTGGCCCTGACGGGGCTGTGAGCAGAGACAGGCTGCCGGCCCCTCCCCGGGGCTCGGCCTCATGACGCTCGTCTTGTGTCCCGAACCGGCCACCTGCGCAGGAGAGGCTGCCGCCCCAAATCGGGCCCCTGCGATTTCTGGGGTGGGCCTTTCCTCCGTCTCCCTCTGGCTCAGCAGGCGGGGCCCGGCCGAGGCCGCTTGGGACCCGTCTCCGTGTCTGCAGCAGGGGCGTAGACGGCATGTCCTGCATCAAAGGGCAGTTTGAGGGAAGCCCCCGGCCCTGTGACCCTCGCTCCCGGCCCCCGGGCCTTGCCTGTACTTTCCCCTCGAATCAGACGCGAGGCTGTTTGTGTCGTGACGCACGTGGCCCTGGGCCCAGGTGACGTGGCCCCCCTTGCCCGGTGGCTGGGACTATGGCAGCCCCCACGGCCATCGTGCAGGGTCTGGCAGGTGAGGGACACGCGGAGGCACCTGCCCTGCCGCGACCTGCCTGGCGGGGGCCGTGCCCCGGGCCGTCTGCAGCAGCGGGCGGCATCTCTCGGGGGAGCTGCAGGGGGAGCCCCGAGCTCGCTGGGCGCCCCCCCCCGCCCCCCCCCTGCCAGCAGAGGCTGCGTCTGCAGGGACGGAGGGGAGGAGGCCCAGGGCCCGCCCCGCTGGGCCTGGCTAGTTGAGGAGGCAGGCCGGGGACGCACCCGCCTGGGGCGAGGACCACCTCCCAGCTGGTCCCCAGCACTGCCCGCCCCTCTGGGCCTTCAGGGGGCGCCTGTGGGCCGGAAGTCGGGTGGCGAAGAGCCCTCTGCTCACACTGGCCAGCTCTCCCCAAGGGGCTGCGGTTGCTGACGCTGCCCTGAGGAGCCATCTGCCTGCCACTCCCCCTCGCCATCTGCGTCTGCGGGTGACTCGCCCTGGCAGGGCTGCGCTCCCCACATCGACCCCGAGCGCCTGGGGGGCCCACACTCCCCCAAAGAGGGGGTTCCCATGCGCCGGGGCCTCGGGCCGTGCTGGGGCGTCGGAGGATGGAGCACAGGGGCCCGGGGTCTGGGCAGGAGAGCTCGGCCCGGAGGGGGAAGGTCTGACCCCCCGCTCAGCAGCGGAGGTCCCCAGCAGCGGGGTCGGGGGCCGGCAGCGGGAGGGCCGCGGGGGCGGGCGCCGCTGCAGGCCGAGCAGGTCGCCCAGAGCGGGGGAGTGGCAGGGCCCGCGGGGCAGGGGCACCGGCCTGGCCGTGGTCCCTGCTGAGGGCAGAGCCCACTCCCCAGGCTCCTTCCCGCTTGGGTGGCTGCCCGGGCCGCCAGGAAGCAGCCCTCTACCTCCTGAGGCCGAGCCAGGTGCCCGGGCCCCGGGGACACCGTCCACAGAGCTGCTGACTGTCGGGCACCCACCTCCCAGGCCCGAGGCATTAAGTCGGGGGGCGGTCAGGAGCGGGACGGCCCTGCAGGCCCTCGCTGTGTCGCTGCAAGGACAGCGGCAGCCTGACCCCTCCCCCAGGGCCCACCTTCCCCCGACTCTCCTCAGTGGGGGCCCCTGTGTGTCTGTCCCAAGGGAAGCCAGGCCTCGGACGGGACGTGCCCTCTGCCTGCCCCGCCCTGGACTCAGCGCTTCCCCGAGCGCTGGCGTCGGCACCGGACCCCAGGGGGAGGTGGGCGCGAGGTGGGCCCAGAGGAAGGGCAGCTCTTTGCTTTATCTTTAGGAACAAAGCGCTGAAATGTCACTGACATTTCCCCCAGTTCTGTGGCAGCCGCAGCTGCGGCGGCGCTGAGCTCCCTCGCCTGCCTCTACCTGGGTGCCCGTGGGCACCCCACGGCGACCGCTCCCCCCAGCCCGGACTCCGACCCGCCTTCGCCCCTGAGCCCAAAACCGTCTTTTCTGCGACCGCAGGGCCGACAGGGCAGCGCATGGGAGGGGGCTGGGCCCCAGCGCCACAGGAGCACCGTGCCGGGCGCGGTCTCCGACACCGGGAGCCGCGTGCGTTCAGCTCGCTGGAACGGGGGCCTGGGGCGCCTTGACCGCACTCTGGGGAGAGCTCGCTGGCCCTGGCCGGGGCGGTGCAGCCGGCCGGGCGGCGTCCCGCAGAGCGAGAGGCCGCGGGTTCAGCTCCCGGTCGGGGCGCAGGCCTGGGCTGTGGGCCTGGTCCCCAGCTGGGGGCACGCGAGAGGGCCTATCCCTGTTTCTCTCACACACCCATGTTTCTCTTTCTCTCCCTCTCCTTCTTCTCTCTCTAAAGATAAATAAATAAAATCTAAAAAAAAAAAAGCAGAGGGACCCCTGGCTTTCCTGGAGACTGGCTCCAAGGCTGGGTGCCCAACCCCAGGGCGCCATCAGGAGTGCCCTCGGGGGCTCCGTCCGGGCTTTGTCGTGAGGAGGGGGCTCGGCGGCCCCCACCGAGGGGCGGCCCTTGGCTCCGCGCGGCTGCGCAGTGGGGGCGGCGGGCATGAGTCGGCCCCGGGGAAATGGAACGAAACCTCCCTCCACTCGCTGTCAGCTGGCAGCGCGAGGCGACCTATTTTCATAGCAATGCTGTGCTTCCAACTCTGAAAAGAAAAGCCTTCCTCGGGGAGTAAACATCCCGACACTGCTGGTTTCCAATCTTTATCTGCACCAGGAGGGGCCTGTGCCGGGGCCCACGAGCCCAGCGGCAGGGGGGCGTGGAGGCTGGGCGGCTGGGCGGGACACACGGACACCGACCGGCTCCCCAGCCCCGGGCTCCTGGCAGAGATGCAGGGATGGGTACGGGGGCTGCTGGGTGGGACTGACCGCGTCCCCCACCTTCCCTGTTACCTGGAGGGCCCGACCCCAGGAAGCACGCACCCCAGCCTCACACGGGGGCAGAGGCGACACTTCAGAGCACGCAGCGTGGCCAGCGTAGCTCAGGGACCTGCTGCCTACCCTGGCTCGGCTCCACAAATGGCTCCCCGAGGCCTCGTGGAAAGGAGCAGCCTCCTCGCGGCTTTATTCTCCTCCCAGCTTGGGGCACCCCCACCTTGCGTCCGAGCCCTGCACCCGGCACCCTGGCCGCCCCAGCAGCCGCCTGACTGCCCTGTCCCTGCGGCTGGGACGGGCTGGCCTTGCCCATGATGGACCCGGGAAGAGGGGGCCGCACAGCCCCAGGCCCCGGCCCTCGGCCTCGGCTCAGGCCCTCCCCGCCTCACACAGGAGCCGAGCTCGGCCTCCAGCCGGGGCCGAGCCCGACCCTCTTGGGCGCCGGGGGCTGCCTTGGGGGCGGTGGCTCAGGGCCCCCGACCACCTCACCTGATATCCTGCTGTTTTCCCTACAGTGAACTTCGACCACTTCCAGATCCTGCGGGCCATCGGGAAGGGCAGCTTCGGCAAGGTAAGGCGGCGCCCGCCGAGGGCCAGGGCAGGGGCCGTGGCGTCGGATGGCCCGGCGCTGAGCCCACCTGCCCCCGAGGGGCAGGCCGCACCGGGGTCTGCGAGTGAGGTGGGCACCTCCCGCCCATGAGGCCAGGGATGCCGGCACAGCGGGCTGTCCCCGAGCTCAGAGATGCTAGGGAGTCTCGGCCCAGGCGTGCGGGGTCGCGGAGCTCAGCCGGGAGCCGAGTGTGCAGGCGGCGCAGTCGCTGACCGCCCTCGCTGTCCTGTCGAGGACGCCCTGCCCCGGGACCACGTCCTGACCCTGGGGCAGGCGTCTTGGGACCCCCACGTCTGTGAGGGGGCCTTATCTGCCGGCCCCGAGCCCATTCCTCCGCTTTCCTGTTCTCTCTCCACCTCCCCGAGCTGCTAATTGAGAGATCGGGGCCATCGTAAGTCAAGGGTCTTCGCACGCTCTCTGCACAGGTTGCAATCAGCCCCAATCAGCCCCCGGACACTGCCTGGGCGGGTCTGTAGTAAAGGACCCGCTTCTGAGAGGACAGGTTCTTTCCAGACACGGGGGCTTGGCAGGTAAGCCTCCCCCGTACAGGTGTCTGGACGCTGCTTCTCTGATCCCTAGGTGCAGGGAACTTAAATGCTATTTTTAAAGAAGATGTTATTTATTTTTGGAGAGAGGGGAAGGGAGGGAGAAAGAAGAAGAGACACATCCACATGTGGCTGACTCTTGCGCGCCCCCCGCTGGGGACCTGGCCCCCAACCCAGGCCTGTGCCCCGACTGGGCATCGAACCGGCCACCCTTTGGTTCGCAGGCCAGCGCTCAAGCCACTGAGCCGCACCCGCCGGGGCTGAATGCTATTCATCACCTCGTTTCAATGTACCGCATGTGCCGCCCCAGGGCTGCGGCCTGGCGGGGGGCGGAGGTTGTTAGAGCCAGCGTGAATCGGCGCCGTGAGAGAACCCGCTTGAGCCGCCCCTCCAGTGCGAGACAGGGTGGCAGCGCCCCCGGGTGTCGGGAGGTGACTGACCCACCCGTGCTTCCCGCCGGTGGCTACCCAGGAGACGTGCCCCTCGCGTCAGCGAGCGCGTCGGCCGCTGTGGACCAGCCGAGACGGCCTCCGGAGGCGGCGGCAGAGCCCCGGGACTCGGGCTGCTCGGGCGGCTCGCGGGGAGGGAGGCACGCTTGGCGCGTGCGCAGCCGTCGGGCCAGGTCTGCTCAGACGCAGGGGCCAAAGGTCGGCGACTCCACCGCAAGAGCAGGAGGGCGCTGAGACGGGCCTCCCTCACCGCAGCCGCTGCTGCACCGCTGAGCCCGTGGGCTGGTTTCCGACTAAACGACGTGTCAGTAGGAGGCCCTGCTGGGGGCCACTGCCCGACCTGGCAGCCCCACGCCCCAGCGACCTGTGAGCTGCACTAGCTGGTCCTCCGGCCGGGCCCGCTCTGCCGGGCCCCGGAAGTCGCTGCGGGAAGGAGGCAGCGGCCCCTGGCAAGTCCCGTACCACGCGCTCCGACTGCGTGGCTAGTGCAGACGCAGCTCTGGGCAGAGCTACCGCGGCCTGTCGTACTTGCGGCCACCACCTGGGGCTGCCCTGTGGCTGCAGAGGCTCCATGGGCCACAGGCCACGGCCAGGGGCAGCCGCGTTGCATTGGGAACCCGAAACCCTGGTGGGCCTTCCGCCCTCCCCCGATGGACATGCAGGGGTGCAGCTGCTCTGGGGTTGGGGCACCCACAGAGGCCAGCTGGTCAAGAGGGCAGAAGGCAGGTCTGGGCTGGGGCCTCGCTGGCACCAAGGCACACGTGAGCTCGCCGCAGAGGGACCAGGGACCAGGGGTGGGACGTGGGAGAACAGCCGCCCGGGGTGGCGGGAGGCGGGGAGGCAGGTCGCCGGCCATGGGGGCGAGGGGCTGGCACGGCCCTTCGCTCTGTCCAGACTCTGGTCTGTCCCACTGCCCGTGAGACGGCCCCTTTCTTGGCAGCTGCAGACACCGTCCTGGGCCCGTCCCGGTCCGGGGTGCCCGGCAGCACAGGGCCGGGACCTGGGGCCGCCGATGCCCGTCCGGCGGCTGCAGAAGCTGCCCCGGGGCAGGAGGCAGCCTCCCCACGATGCTGGGCTTCAAGCGCTGCCACCAGGTGTTTGTTTTCTGGGGGACAAACGACACTTAGGGACCAAAAGAGCTTGGGGTGAGTCGCAACACCCGCAACACGTGCAACACGCGCAACACGCACCAGCGCCTTCTGTGAGAACGCGGCCACCACGCCTTCCGCCTCCCGGGCTGCCGCGGCCGCTGTGGCCACAGCTCGTCCCAAGGAAGCCCCCGGACACCCAGGCCTCGATCGGCGGGGCCTCCTGCTCTTCCCACTTGGATCGAATTCCATCTCCTCTTTGTGGGGCTTAAGCTGATTACCAGAGCAAGCAGCTCAGAAGGCTGAGGCCAATTTCCTTTCAGGAATTGGCTTAATGGGGCCGCGGCTTTCCACCCAGAGTCTGGGTTGCGGCGGCGGCGGCTCCCACGCGCGGCTGTAAACACCGCCGGTCTGGTCTGCGGCACCTGGGTCCCTTTGAGCAGAGATGGCGCCAAACCCCAGCATCTCTTAAGTGCCACCCACTGGGATAAAAGGGCGTCCTTGGAGTGTCAGGCGCAGAGGCCGAGCCCCTGCCGGCCTGCCCCGCGCCGGCCCCAGCCTTGTGCTCCAAGGGCGGCCAGGGCGGCCCTCGGCCTGCGGGTCCAAGGCCAAGCCCCGGGCAGGGGCCTCTCAGGCGAGGCAGGTTTAGCAGGGCTTTGCGGCGTCTGGGTGGCGCATGCGGGCCCCTGTTGGGTCTGTGGGCCTGTGTGAGCTGCGGAGCCACGGCTCAGAGGTGCGTGGGGTCTCGGCTGCGGCAGGCTGTCCCCGGGCGCCGTGGGCACCCCCGGCCGGCTGTGCCCCTCTGAGGCCCAGGGCATGGCCAGAGGGGAGCAGCAGCGAGCAGGGCATTACCTGGGGAGCAGAGGCTGCGGCTCCCGAAGGTCAGGAAGGTCACCGCACCTGGATGATACGGGGACATTCGGGGCTGGGAGAAGCTGCTCAGCTGCCGGGTCCAGAGTCCCGACCCACAGTCACCCACCGCCGGGCAGGACCGGATCTGGGCGCCACAACAGCGTCAAGGCCCCCAGCCCCCAAACAGAGCTGTCCTTACGCCCCGTGCTCGACCCCAGCGGTTCCCACACAGGGCAGCTCCTGCGGACGTTGCTTACGCGAAGCGGCACATCTGGGCATGGCCTTATGAAAATTGTCACACGTCCTGACTCGTCTTCGTGGCCGCGTGACACTCCGCCGAGCTCCCCTGCCCGCGCCCCCGAGGCGGCTTGAGGCTGAGTCTGCGGGAGGGGCTTGTGCAAGGGGCAGCGAGGGGGTCCCTCCCCGGTGCGCCCACAGCCGCCTGGGTGGCGGGCGCGGCGGGCAGGGGGTGGCGGCGGGCGGCCGGCTGACGCACCCGGCCCCCAGGTGTGCATTGTGCAGAAGCGGGACACGGAGAAAATGTACGCCATGAAGTACATGAGCAAGCAGCAGTGCATCGAGCGCGACGAGGTGCGCAACGTCTTCCGGGAGCTGGAGATCCTGCAGGGGCTGGAGCACGTGTTCCTGGTGAACCTCTGGTGCGCCCGCCGCCTGCCCCGCCCCCGCCCTGCTGCCTGCCCGGGCCGCCCCCCTCCCCCTCCCCGTGCACCCGCAGCCCCGCCCGGGCCGGGTGTCCACGGCACCCTGCGTCCTGAGGATTCCCACAAAGGAGGCCTGGGACCCGCGGCCTTTCTGGCAGAAAGTCCGTGGGGGAGAGTTGGGGGCCTGACTGAGTTGTTTCCACAGAAAGGGCCCCCAGACCAGCCCGAGGAGGTGGGGACCTGCAGGCCACAGCGGGTACCTCCCTTTCCCCCGGGAGTGCCCCAGCAAGGGGGCCTCCTGATCCCCCGACAGCCTCCTGCGGGGTGGGGCAACGTGCCCTCTCACGCGCTCGCAGACGGCGCGGACCCCGCGGACCCTGGCAGCGGTGCCCCCGGGCGGGCGAGCGGGACCCGGCCCCGCGGAGTGCGGGGCGCAGGGGTGGCCAGCCGTGCATGTGCCAGGTCCTCCCCCGGCGCCCACAGGTACTCCTTCCAGGACGAGGAGGACATGTTCATGGTGGTGGACCTGCTGCTGGGTGGGGACCTGCGCTACCACCTGCAGCAGAACGTGCAGTTCTCCGAGGACACCGTGCGGCTGTACATCTGCGAGATGGCGCTGGCCCTGGACTACCTGCGCGGCCAGCACATCATCCACAGGTGCGCGCGGCCGCGCCGAGCAGCGGGCTGCCTGCAGGGACGCCCCGCTCCCCCGCCACGCATCCCACGTGCTCTGCCCCCGGGGCGGCCCCGGCCGGCCCCCCGATATCCACGTGGGGCTGGTCCGACCCAAGCCGCCCCAGCTGGGTTCGGGCACACAGAGCCGCCGGGTCTTGGGGACTCCGGGGCCGCCTGGCCTGTGTGACTGCAGGGTCCCATGTGCCCATCTGCGCTGGGCCCCGGGGAGTCAAACCAATGTTCACATTAGCTGACAGCGGAGATAATAGGGCGATGAAGCTGCCTCCGTGGGACAGAACCCTAGGCGTGGTCTCCCAGAAAGTCAAGTGGCCTGGATTTCAGCGTCTCTGCCCTGGCGGACTCTGGGGGCAGGGTTGGTCAGGGGGCTGTTTCTGCTGCGGGGGCAGGGGCGGGGAGCTTCCGCTCCCTGTGTCCAGCGCTGGGCTCTTCTCTGCTATCTGTCTGGTCCAGAAGGTGGGGCTGGAGGCAGCTGGTCTGCCAGCTACGTCCATTTGTCGGGGGCCTAGGGCCTGGAGTCTGTCCACTAGGGCCCACGGTGGGCCTCCCTCGGGGGAGCCCCCAGCCCTGCCGGGGGTCACGGGGCAGGAACAGGAAGGATTTCTCCGCTTCCTGCTCCTTCTGCAGAGACGTCAAGCCCGACAACATTCTGCTGGACGAGCGAGGTGAGCAGGCGCTTGCGGCCGGCGGGGACCGGCGCCCTGCCCGCGGGACGCATCTCTGGTCCTCGGACAGCCGCCCCGACCTCTCTCCTCCAGGCCACGCGCACCTGACCGACTTCAACATCGCCACCATCATAAAGGACGGGGAGAGGGCGACCGCGCTGGCTGGGACCAAGCCGTACATGGGTGAGTGCGGCCCAGCCCCCCGCCAGCCTGCCTTCCCCTGCAGCCTGCAGCCAGCGGGCGGGTCCCTTCCTGAAGGCACACGGCAGTCAGTGTGAGGGACAGCGTGTTCGATCGTGCGGACGACCAAGTCACGCACGAGAGGGTGACAGGCGTGGCAAAGGGAGGGCCGGGCGCGCACGGCGGGCGGTGGGACCTGCCTGTGGACCCGGCCGTCCGTGGGGAGGGACCACAGCCAGGGGCGGCGGTTCTGGGTGCCAGCCCTGCGCCCGCGGGTCGGGGTGCTCAGCCACTCCTTCCCTTTCCGGAAAGCTCCGGAGATCTTCCAGTCTTTCGTCAACGGCGGGACCGGCTACTCCTTCGAGGTGGACTGGTGGTCGGTGGGGGTGATGGCGTACGAGCTGCTGCGAGGATGGGTACGGCCCCTCGGCCCAGCCCCGACCCCACGCGAGCCGGCTGCGCCCCCGGGTGGCCCCATGCCCGGGGTGGGGGGGAGGCTGCGTGCTCAGCCAGCAAGGACGCACGCTTTTAGCCACTCGGCTCAGAGTGGGGGCACAGTGCCCGGGCAGGCGCGGGGGGGCACTGCTGGGGCTCCTGGACGGCGGCGGGGGCTGTGCCCGGCCCGTCCCCACCCCCGGGCGGGGCCCTCGAGGCCCCCGGCCGCCCCTGTGGGAGGCAGCGTTCGGCCGTGCCTGACCGGGGAGGGGTGCCGGGAGCGCTGGGCCGCAGCGGCTCCGGCACAGCACCGCCTCCCTGCCCAGAGGCCCTACGACATCCACTCGAGCAACGCCGTGGAGTCCCTGGTGCAGCTGTTCAGCACCGTGAGTGTCCAGTACGTCCCCTCCTGGTCCAAGGAGACGGTGGCACTGCTGCGGAAGGTGAGCCCCGCCCGGGGCGCGGAGCCGCCGGGCCCGGCTGCGCTGGGTCTGTCTGGGGCTGTGGTGGGCAGCCCCTGGTCCCCGGAGGTGTCTCGTCCCTGCGTGTTTGTCTGGAGCCCCTCTCCAGTGGGCTCCCCGCCCGTCCACGCCGGCGATGTCCCGTCGCCGCCAGCCTGTCTGCCCACCAGCCTCGAGCTGACTGAGCCCTCAGCTCCCAGCCCGGGACAGGCACCCAAACCAGGCGCAGAGAACTTGGCCCTGTGCGGGCGCACGCCACACGTGCCGGAGGGCAGTCATGGGCGAAGGGTGCCTGCCACGCTGCGCTCTGGCCCCCTCCGCCCCTCCAGCCCCTCCGGCAGGTGGGCAGCCACCCTCGGGGGCGAGCGGAGAAGCCCTGAGACCCCCTGCGCCCCCAGGGCCCTTGGCCTGAGGGCACAGGGCTGTGGTGCTGCCACCAGCCTCCCACCCGTGGGCCCCGCTCCCGTCCTCCCTCCCCTGCCCCCCCCCCGCCCACTCGGAGAGCCGCGCTTCAAAGACACGGGGCCCCTCGGGACCAGGAGTGGGCGGGCGCCGGGCAGGGCGCACCCAGGGGCTCCCAGCCCCGAGTCCTGGCCTCCCAGGTCCTGCTGGGCAGGCCTGGCCCCGGCCTGGAGACCCTTGACCCTGGAGTTGCAGCCAGGCACCAAGAGGCCTCTCCCGGCCCCTAATGGAGCCTCGTCACCGAGCTTTCACCCCACAGAGCGCTCCCCGTACCTGCCCAGGGGGTCCCCAGGTGGGACCTCGGCCCGAGAAGCTTGAGTGGGGAGTGGGGATGGTCTGTGCGCCAAGCCCCGCACCCGGAGAGGCCTCGTGGGGCTTGAGGGCAGTTTCTGCCGGCAGCCGCCCTGCAGCTGGCCCGGCCGAGGCTGCCACCTGCTGGTGAATCTCAGCAGGTCGTCCTCTGCCTCCCTGGGCTCCGGGCTTAACCTGGCCACGCACACCACACTGCCCCCAGGCTGCGCCACTGTGCTGACCAGGTTGCCTGCCTGACCCTTGAGGCCCCGCATTCCCCAGCCTCGGCTCTGGCGAGACCCGCCGGGCGCCCTGGCCTGGACAGCTCTTCCCGGGGCGAGCGCTGGGCCAGGTCCCGCAGGGCACGGGGCGGCCCCGTCTGATGTGGCCTTGTTCCAGCTCCTCACTGTGAACCCCAAGCACCGAGTCTCCAGCCTCCAGGACATGCAGGCGACCCCATCACTGGCCAACGTGCTGTGGGACGACCTCATCCAGAAGAAGGTGGAGCCAGGTTTTGTGCCCAACGTAAGCCTGCGGGGCGGCCGGGGCCGGGGGGGGGGCGGACCGGGGGGGGGGGAGCCGGGAGGCGGGGTGGAACCGCGGGCGAGCCCCCACCTGCCCCCGCAGAAGGGCCGCCTGCACTGCGACCCCACCTTCGAGCTGGAGGAGATGATCCTGGAGTCCAGGCCCCTGCACAAGAAGAAGAAGCGTCTGGCCAAGACCCGGTCCCGGGACAGCAGCAGGGACAGCTCCCAGTCTGTGAGTGCGGGGCTTGGGCGGGGGGCTCCCCCGCCACGTCACCACCCCCGGCGCCCCGGCAGGGGGACACCTTGGAAGTCCTGCAGGCGGTCCTCCCGGTGTCCCGAGACCTTCCGCCGCCTTTCCCAGCCCCGTCGTCTGCCCCCGAGTCCTGCGGCCTCCGCGCCCCTCGCGGCCCCCGTGAGCCCAGGGCCCCCGTCGGGGCCCCGGCGTGGGGGCCCCGGCCCGCCCTGAGGCCCTGCTGCTCTCCCGGTGCCCGGAGCCCGGAGCCCGTCGCCCCGGCATCCCCCGTGCCCAGGGCGGCCCCGCAGGCCCGCGGTCCGGGAGCCACCCCCTCACCGGTCCCCAGCGGCAGGGCTGCCGGAGCGGCCAGCACACACTGCCACCGGCCCCCGCCGGGCGCACGCTCGATGTGGTGCCCGTGACGGGTCCTCACTCGTCCGGCCTGCTCGGGGCCAGGCCGCTCGCAGCCGACGCTGAGACGGGACTTTGTGCGCAGGGGATGGTGACCCCGGGACCCGGGAGGAAGTGGGGGGGAGGCGCTGAGCCACTGTGGTTTGGTCGCTTGGACACCGCCTTCCACGTCTGCGTCCCGAGTCTTGGGGCTGGGCGTCCGCCAGGACACCCTCCGGTCCCTGGCTGAGGGTCGCCTGGGAGGGGCAACCCCCCAGCTGCTCTGGCTAATGACAGAGTCCAGGCTTCGGGAGGAAGCCCAGGTGCAGGCAGCCCCAGGAGGAGAGGCCGGAGGGGCGGGGCCCCCGCCGCGGGGGGCGTGACGCCGGCTCGCTCTGACTGGCAGGAGAATGACTACCTTCAGGACTACCTGGATGTGATCCAGCAGGACTTCGTGATCTTTAACCGAGAGAAGTGAGTGCGCAGGGGGCGCTGGGGGGGCCGTGACGGGGGCCGAGAGGAGCTGGGGGAGGGGCCGGGGCTTTCAGGGCCACACGAGTCCCGCGCCCCAGCAGCACAGGGCACCAGGGGGCCGGGGGTCTGAGCACTGGTCCGGGGGGCAGCGGGGGTGGTCCACCCTCAGGCTCCTGCGAGAGGGGCTCCTCCAGAATTTTTGGTCCTAAAGGAGGGCCAGTGGCCAGGACCCCGGGCGGACACTCCGGGGACTTCCCTGACGAGGGCTGGTGGCCTCCTGCACGGCAGCTGCCTCCCCGCCATCAGCCGCTCGCTCGGCCAACGTGTACTGGGCGCCCGGGGCCGGGGGCGGGGAGTCACGGCTGGCTGGCCGGGAGGCCGCAAAAGCTGTGCGTCCGCCCGGGAGGGACAGAGCCCAGCACTGCGGGGCCCAGGGGAGGGGCGGCAGGGTGGGGCGCAGGGCCTCCTGCAGGAGGTGGCCTCGGGCTCTGGGAGGGCAAGCAGGTTTGGGGGGTGCTCTGTCCTGCCTCAGTGGCCGGGGGGACACGGGGGCACTGGTTTAGGACACAGGCCACCGTCCTGGGTGAGACAGGGGCTCGGCCACGGTCTCTGTAAAGCCTCACCCCCGAAACTGCTGACCCCAGAGCTGAACGGGCCCTGCCAGCTCCAGGCTGGAGAGGAGCCGAGGCCCCCGGGCCCAGAGGTGCCAGGAGGAGGCGCTGCTGGGCTGCCACCCCCGCCCGCCCACCCAGGACCTGCCCCACAGCCCCGCTGGCTCCCTGCTGGGCTCTGGTCCAGGAGACGCTGGGCGCCTTGTGCGGGAGCCCTGTCCCCAAAGGGTGCGCCCTGGAGCCCAGCTGACCCCCGGCCGCTGGGGAGGCCGGACGAAACCCCTCCCGGTGCTTCCCTGCCAGGCTGAAGAGGAGCCGGGACCCCGCCCGGGCTGCTCCTGACGCCGAGTCTGGGGACGCTGACAGCGAGGGCAGCCCCGCCCTGCCCACGTGCGGCCCCATCTGCCCCTCGGCGGGGAGCAGCTAGGCGCGCGCGGGCCCCCAGAGGGACGGGGCGACGGCAGGAAGAGGCCCGGTGTCCGCCCTCCCACTGAGCAGCCCGAGGAGCCCGCAGCCCCAGGCTGGGGGCCCCGCCCTGTCCCGGCCACAGCCTGCCGGAACAGCCGACCGCCGAGCGGCCACCGGGCTCTCGGAGGTGCCTGGTGACAAGAGGCCGCCAGCAGGCCGAGCGGTGGGCGAGGCCGACCTGCTTGCTGGCTGGCCGCAGGGTGGACCACGCGGTGGGCAGGCACTCGCATCGCTCGCCACCTCTGGGCTGTACAGGCCTGGCTGCCTGGTCCGGCCCTGCCATCGGCTGCCTGACGCCCGTGAGCTTGCCACCCCGAGCCTGGGGGTGGCCCAGGGTCCACGGTTCCCGTGCATCAAGGGGGAGGGTCGCGGGCCAGAAGGCGAGGGTGATTTTATAAATACAAGTGTTCCAGCACTTTCTGCAGTGTTGCTGTACCCTTTCACCCCCGAGACCCACAACGGACCCCCGACTCGGAGCCGGGGTTTCCCCATCCTGCGTCTGCAGAGCCGCCATACAGCTCGCGGGGGGCATGTGCGTGGGTCGGGCAGAGCCCCCCGCACGCCAGTCCTGCCACCCTGGGCTGGGGACCGCTGGGCTGGGGGCACAGACGGAGGCGCAGGGCAGGGGACACCCAGGACACAGCGGGTGTGCCCGCCTGGGGGCTCCGGCCAGTGACCCCCGGGGGAGGCCGCCCTGCGGGTGGGAGAGACCCCCGAGAAAGTTCTGGGCAATCGGTATCAGACACAGGGCGGGGGCAGGCTGTCTGGGCGTTTCTGAGACCCCAGGGAACAGCGAGCGGGTTTCTGCGCGTAGGTGGCAGGGATGTGGGCGTGTCTGGCCCCACGGTCACCCAGTCTCTCGCCGGGCAAGGGGCCCGGCGCCTTGGACGGCAGCCCCAGAAACCAGCTCTGCAGCTGCACCAACCTGCCCCCCGGGCCGCAGGAGCCCCGGGAGCTTGGTGGGACCAGCGCGACGGACCGGGCTGCCCGGGGCCCGGCCCCCACTTGCCTTCCCCGTGACCACAGCCACCCTGCTCGGGGGCGGGGGGACAGCAGGCAGGGGCGTTGCGCTCCTGGGGCGCAGAACAGGACCACATTTATAAGAGGCTGAGGCAAGGTCGGCCCAACGGTTCCTTGTCCTGGAAGGTTCTGGGCAGCCTAGCTTCGGGTCTGGATCAGAACCCCGGGCCCCTCTGCCGTGAGCAGGGCGGGGCCCAGGCTGTGTCCGCAGACCGGGTGTCAGGCATCAGCTGCTCGCTGGAGGTGGGCTCACGGCCGGGTGGCGCCCCCCGCGGGCCCCCCCCCCCCCCCCCTGCTGCTGTGGCCGGCGCACACCGGGTCACGATGTGGTTGGAGGCCCTCCCGGGCCACCCCTGTCCTCGCCCTCTGGCTGCCCCTGACCTGCAGGCCTGGGTTCAGGAGCAAGGTTCCCGGGCCCCTTTCCCAGGGGGACGCCCTCCCGCGGCGCCGACCCAGCCCCGCCCCTTCCCACTGTGGGTGGTCCGGGGACCCGGCTTCCCAGCTGGCCCAGTGCCAGGCTGCGGGGCAGCCGGAGGGGCGCAGGGGCCCGCGTGGAACCCACTCGCAGGGGCAGAGAAGTGGGGTAGCTCCGTAGACTCCAACCCAGACGCCTTTATTGACCCCGTCCCCGTGAGCCCGGGGACACAGCGGCGGGGGGGCTGGGCAGCACGCAGAGTCCTGGCTACGGCGTCCGGAGTGCACCAAACTGCTGCTCTACTCGACTACGCGCCGCGCCGCTCAGGGCAACGGGGCATCCTAGCTAAGGTCCTACCACCGCCCGGCGGACGGGTGGCTACAAGGGCGGAGGTTCGGTCCCCGGGAGGCTGTGCGGCCGGCGCAGGCGCTGTGCCCCGCTCCCGGGGGGTCCCCTGGAGTCGCAGCAGCCCCGGCAGGGCCCGGCTCACGGGGCTGCTCCTTGTGCCGAGGCGCCGGCCCCGGGGAGGCAGGTGGCAGGGCTGGGCTTCGAGAGGCAGTGGCTGGCACGAGGTGGGGCTCACCCCAGCCCCTCGCCTGGGTGCTGTGAGGCCCCGGGAGCCCCAACAGCCTTTGGGGGGGCACCTAGCACCCAGGCCCGGGCAACAACCTGAGCTGCCCTGGCAGGGACCCCTCCCCAGGTTCAGCCCTTGTAACAGAACCTGGGTCCCCCCGAGGAGAGTGTCTGGTGAGGGAAGAAGGAGGGGCCGAGCACCTTCAAAGTCAGTTCTACAAAGAGAAGGCTGACGGTGAGCTTCCCGTGCACCTGCCCCGCCCGCCCAGGACGGCGGCAGCTCCTCGCGCCCTGAGCGGTCCCGCGGCGCCTAGGACAGCGAGGTGATGTTGGAGCGCCCGCCGGGGGGCGCCATGATCTTCTGCGCCGTGCGCCTGGCAACGTGGTCGTCAGCCTGCGACCCTGCAGGGAGCGGGACGGGGCGTGCGCAGAGGTCGCAGGCCGGCCATGTCCAGAGGCCAGGAGGGCAGAGCCCGCCCGCCCGCCCGCCCTGCGGGTCCCTGATGCTCCCCCGTGGGGGGCCACGGCAGGTAGACCAGGTGACAGGCAGGTGCTCCTGTCACCGAGGCCTTGGACGCAGAGGGCGGCCAGGCCTACGTTTGCAGCAGGCAGGGGACCGAAGGTCAAGCCGGTTGGGGCGCAGGCCAGTCCTGCCTCGTCCCCGCGGTGGGTCTCAGGCCGCCCTGCACGGCGTGGATTTCGAAGGGGACTGTTCCCCGGCTCCGTGTCCCCGGGAGGTGACCTCCCCAAGGGCAGGTGGCCCCCACCCGAGGGCTGGAAGGAGAGGGAGGGCCTGGCCCGGCTGCAGGAAGCACCTGGGGCTCACGTTTCCGGAAGGTGCCGCTGCAGAGGCCGCAGGCAGCAGCCGGCCCCGGGGGCTGCCCGAGCCCCCCCCCCCCGCCGCCCCCCACCCCCGAGCCTGTCCCTGAAGGGCCCGTCCTCAGCGTCGCTCGCGCCGCAGCGGGGCTGGGGCGCAGCCACGGGGTGGAGCGAGGGACTCCCACGAGGCCCCGGAGGCAGGGCGCCCCACGGCCGACGCTGGGGCAGGGAGCCTGGCCTCACAGCCCCGGGCCCTGCTAGCAGAGGCCCCCCACGGGCACAGGCCCAGCTCACCTGACAAGCTGAAGCCCGACTGGTGCAGGTTCCGCACGGGCGGCACCGAGATCTTCCCGGAGCAGGGCCCGCGGGCCTGGGCGCTGCCGCCGGGCTTGGCCGGCACCATCACCTCCTGCACCAGCCCGTCGTAGAGGCCGCGGGGCACACCGTGGACCTCGGCCAGCTGCGGGGCGGGGGGCGGGGGTGAGGGCTGGGCCGCCCTGCGGCGGGAGCGAGGGGCTCCTGCCGAAAACCTGGCCGCCCCGCGCTGTGGTGTCCCCCCCCCCCCGCCCCCTGGCCGGGCTCAGAAGCCCTGGGACTCCCTGCCAACAGGGCGTCTGCCTGTGCGCAGACACCCGCCTCCTGCCCCGCCCACCTGCGCACACGTGCGCACTCCTCCCGCGCCCTCCCACGTGTGCGCCCCTCCCCCTCCCGCCTGCACACGCACCTCCCTCCCCAGCGGCAGGGGCTCTGCTCAGACAAGGGCGGCCCCACGGAGGAGGCTGCTGTTTGGGATCGGAAACTGGCCCCCCCTACAGCCCCGGCGCCTCGGCTCTGGTGTGGCCCCGCTCTGGCCCGTGGGAGGCCCTGGGATGGAGCCCCCTGAACAGCTCCCACCGCCGGAGGCACTTCCCAGCAGCCACCACGACGGGCCAGCGGCCCGTGGACGGAAGCGAAACCTTCCGACGCGCTTCTGTCTCGGCGGCCGCCCCCCGACCCCGGGGTGTGTGGTTAGACTCGTGGCTGCCCGGCCTGAGCTGGGTCCTGCCCCGGAGCCGGTCCCAGGCAGAGGTGCAGGGCCGGGGAGATTCGCTGAGGGGCATCCAGTGACAAGGACGCGGGCCTGAGCCCAGCCCCACCCCTGGTCCCGGGTGCACGATGGGGACCCCGTCGCAGGCCCGCGCCCCGTACGTCACTCCGCTGGGCCCGGCTGTGCGTGAGGCGGGGGCTGCGACCTCGCAGAGTCTGCCCGGAACCCTCCCGGAGCTGGCCCAGCGCTGCTTCCCTGGCCCCGGGCGGGGGCAGGGCTGACCGGGAGCAGGGGCCCCCCGCCCGCCCCACGCCGGCGCAGGCCTCACCCTGTGGCGCGCCTTGATCCTCTTGTAGACGAAGTCGGGGAACGTCTTCCGAGGGATGAAGCGGCCGGCCCCGGGCGTGGCACACAGCTGCCCGCCCTCCAGCACCACCCTGCCCTGGCTGATGACCACGGCGGGCACCCCCCGGCACTCGAGGCCCTCGAAGATGTTGTACTCCACGTTCTGGGGAGGCAGGGCCGAGGTCCAGCACCGCCCCACGACACCGTCCCCAGGGGACACGTGCGCCTGTGTCTGACGGGACGCGGTCGCCCCAGGAACTGGCCATGACCTCCCGCGCCTGCCCCCGAGCCCTGTTTCTCAGGAGGAAGGGCGCGCGGACGAGCCTGCGCGGGGGGACTGGTCATGAACATTGCGGCCACGGGTCCCCACAGAGACGGCTGCAGTCGCCCCATGGCCACCCTGGACCCCCTGGGCAGGCGGCCGGGCCTCACCCCCGCCCCCCACCCCCTCACCAGCCCCAGGACCCAGCCCCTCTCACCAGGTTGTGGGTCTTGGCGGAGATGGTTTTCGTGGCCTTGGGGTCCCACAGGACCAGGTCGGCATCAGAGCCCACGGCCACCCGCCCCTTCCTCGGGTAAAAATTGAAGATTTTGGCGGCATTTGTACTGGTCACAGCAACGAACTCATTCTCATCCATTTTCCCTGAGGCCTGGGAAGCAGCAGGAAGGCCAGCTGAGGGGTCCGGGGCTCTGCGGGGACACCGCGGCCCCCCCCCACCCCCAGGGGCCGCGCGTGGCATTTAGCCCGCACTCCCAGGGCACGCAAGCCGATGGGTCGGGCTCAGCAGCCCGCTGGCATCTCCCCGTCCCTGTGCCCGGGGCCTGGTCCCTGTGCTCACGTTGTGGGTAAACGGAGAAGCCTCCACAACGCCTGTGTCCCCTGAGGACACGACCATCTCCCCCAGATGGCGGGCGGGCGGGGGACGCGGGGCAGCGAGGGGGGCCGGTCGGGGCCTCGGCCCGGGAGGGGGTGTGGCGGGGGTGCCCGGCAGAGCTGTCTGGGGGAGGCGGGCGTCTGAGACCGCGGGCACCCTGGGGAGGCCGCTCGCCTGCGGGGCGTCGCACCGGTGTGACGTGAGGGTGGGGGTGCCTGGCTGCAGGGCTGCGGGGCGACACCCCGGGGCCCACGCACTGGACCCCAGTCCTCGGGGGCATTTCCTGGTTCAGTTTCCCGCCGCGACGAGCCGGCAGATCCCGGCTCGCCCGGCGTGCCAGGCCCTGGGACTCACCACGCACTTCTCCCAGACCACCGACATGCGCTCCTGCACGCCGTTGGTGCCCTCGGGGATGAGGGCGAAGTTGTCTTTGCCGACGGCCTTCTGGGCGGTGGTGAAGGTGCAGTGGGCACTGCCGGTCACCTGGAGGTCCCCGCTGGAAACAAGCGGGGCCGGGGAGCCCAGCTGCGTGAGGCCGCGCTGGGCGGAGCCCGTGCGCCCGGGCGGGGGCGGGGCAGGGCAGGGCAGAGCCGGCGGACGCGCGGCGGAGCTGCCGCCCCGGGTAGGTGCTGGGGAGGCTGGAGCTGCCCACGGCCGAGTTCACGCCGCAGGGGGCGCGCGGGCCACCTGGGGCAGCGGCTCCTCACCTGGACAGCAGGGCGGCGAGGTGCTCGGCAGTGGTGGCGTCCGGGCTGATCGGGGGCGACGTCACGAAGGCGGCGGCCTTCGCCCAGTTCTCGCTCCAGCACTGCGAGCCGTCGGCGCCCAGCCCGGCTGCAGTGGGCTCCCCGAACACAGCCACACCTGCAGGGAGGCCGGGGATGGCAGCCGCCCGCCTGCACACCCGCCGGACCCGCGAGGGCGGAGGCCCCTCTCCTGGGGCACCTGGCCCTGCTCCCTCCCCCCCCTCCCCCCAGCCCCCCACAGGCAGGCGAGGCTCCTCCCCGCTCCCGCTGTGTGGGCGCCCTGCGGGCAGAGAGCACCCGGGCTCTCAGGACGTGCATCCCAGCCCCTGGATGCACAGAGGGGTCCAGTGAGCAGCTGCGTGGGCTCTGGGGGCTCAGCTGGGCACGGCGCCCCGGCCCAGCCGGCCTGTCCCCTTGCCTCAAGGCCCCATCGAGCAGCTGCTGCTCCAACCAGAGGGGGGAAGCCCCTCTAGCCACACAGGGACCGGGGGCGACCCCTGCAGGCCACAGGGGGAGGGGATGCGGTCGAGTGAGGCCGCTTCTCAGTGGGGCCTGCCTCAGCCCCAGTGGAGCCTGACCCCTGACCCCGGGGACCCCCCCCAGCAGCGGGGCCCAGGCCCAGCACTCACCCCTGCGCTTGGCTCGGGCCACCACGTCGGCTGCTCCCTTGCTCATCACCTTGGTGACATACAGTGGGCAGCTGGCCTGCTTGGCGATGGTGACGGCTCGGAACACAGCCTCGACCTCCACCTGGGGACAGGGAGGCTCAGGCCCGCGCAGGCCTCCTGACCAGTGCGGGCACGGCGGGCCCACGGCTCCCCACGTCCTGGGCCCAGGGGAGCACCCCTGCGTCAGGGAGGACCATGCCGTTCCCAGGGCCCAGCCACGCCGCTGCCTTGGCCTCGAGTGCCGGGCTTGAGGGACCGGCGGCCACAGGGGACACGCACCTGGTGGGGGGACAGGTACCCGGGCCAGGGAGCCAGGACCCACCCCCGGGGGCGCCGTCAGTGCTGGGGAGTCACGGCGGGCAGAGTGCCTACCTCCTCAGGGCGGCTCAGCACGTGGCCCTCGGGGCCGGTGATGCCGAGCTCCAGCAGCCGCTTCTGCTCCTGAGGAAGCCGACACGGTGCCCGTTCCAGCCCCGGTGCCCGGCCAGGGCATGCGCTCCCCGCCCGGGGTTCCTGCTCCCCAAGCCGCGTCCGGGCCCCCACCGACCACAGGGGACTCCGGCTCGGGGGGGACGCTGGAGAGGAGACTGCAGCTGCCGGGGGCTAGACGAGGGGGCGGGGCCGGGCGAGCGCGAGGGACGCGCCTGAGGTCCCAGGGCGGCCCCACTGGCGTGGCTGCCGTGCCGCGTGTGCACGGGGCTCTGCACAGGCCCACGAGCCTCCCAGGGGCCCCGCAGCACCTGCGCCGCGGGCACCCCCTCACGGCCCCCCGTCTGAGGGGAAGGCGCGTGGGCGCGCCCTGTGCCCCCCGGGTCTGACAGGAGGACAGGCACGTGTCCCACACGTGGGCTCACCCATCGGCAGGACGACAGGGGCCTGCCCCGCGAGGGCCCCGCACCCGGGCGGGGGGCACGGAAGCCCCAGTCTCCGTCGCCCCCACGTAGGTTTGGTGGAAGTTTCGACAAGTGGGTGCCCACAAAAAAATCTGCTCCGGCACAGAGCCCCCAGGTTCCCCTAATTCCCAGCTTGACCGCTGACCCTGGGCGCAGGGCTCACGGAACACGTCCGGTGCCCCGCTCAAGGCGTGGGGGACCAAGGGCTCCCGCCCTGCTGTCCGGCCGCCCGCCCGCCCCGCCCCGCCCCAGGCGGCCCTGCCCGCACCTCCTCCACCAGGTCCCCGTTCTCCGCGTGCACTTGAGCCAGGGCTCCCAGGTCCCGGATGATGCTGAAGATCTCGTACATCTGCGGGGAGAGGCCGCGTGGGGCTGCGCCTCACCTGGCAGCAGCCGGGGTCACCCGCTCATCCCCTCCCCTGGGCGCCGGCCCCTACCTGGCCGTCGGTGCACTGGCACCTGTCCTTGTACGCCATGAAGACCAGGAAGGAGTTCACACCTGGAGGGAGGCAGGAGGGCTCAGCTGCTCCACCCCCGGGGGCCTCCAAGCCGGCAAGGTGGCCCGCAGGCCCCAGCCCCACCTCCACCTGCAACGGGCGGCGGCAGAGGCAGCCCCACACCCCCTTCCCTGCGTCTCAGGCCCCGGGATCAGGGGCCAACGGTTCCCCAGCAGCAAATGCTGGGGAAACCCCTCCCAAGCCCCGCAGGGCCCCTCGCCCGCTCCAGTGTCCTCTGACGCCTGTTACACCCCGCGTGAAGGCTCAGGGCCCTTCCAGCCCAGGCGGCCGCAGCGCGAGACGGCGTCAACGCCTCCCCCCAGAAGGGCCTTAATTCGCCAGGAAAACAAATGGCACGTTTCTTTCGTCCACAAGCAAGACCAAGGGAACGGCGGTGGCAGCTGTGACCACTGCAATGGGGACGGTCACAGGAGGCGTCCCTCGGACAGGGAGGCAGACGACCCCTAGTCCGCATCCTCTGGACGCAGAGCAGACTCTCGGGCGACTCCTGTCCAACGCCCCCCACCCTGAGGCCGGGCCGCCTGCCCCGGGGTCAGAGGACACCACGTCCCGCTCAGCACCGCCTGCCTGGGGGGCTCCCGGCCGCCGGCCCCCAGGCAGCCCCGGCCCCGGCCCCGGCCCCACGGGGCCGCTCACCCTTGTCCTTGACCAGGGCCTCCAGCTCCTCCCTGGTGCTCTCGTGCCAGCGGGGGATGTCCACGTGCAGCGAGTAGTCGCAGCAGGCCCCGCTGTCCGCACGCTCCCGCCACTGCTCGTAGGCCGCCAGCAGGCTCACCCCCACGTCGGGGAACACGTGGTCCACTGTGGGGGCAGCACCGTCAGCCGGGCCCCCGCCCGGCCCGGCCACTGGGAACGACCTCCGACTCCATTCCCGAGAGATCGGCACGGAGCAGGGGCCGCCGGTGCCTTCCTGGGGGCTCAGCCCGCGGGGAGCCTGCCCGGCGGTGCTGCCCCCGCCTCCAGGCCTCCCTAGAGCACAGGGACCCGCCCTGGGTGCTGCCCACCTCGCTCCCCGGTGCTCACGTCACAGCCCGAGAGCACGAGGGCCAGCCGGGGCCTCAGCCTCCAGCGCAGGTGCCCCAGAGGTCGGGCCGGGAGGGCCGCTGTCCACGGTCCCCGCTGTCCCTGCTGTCCAAGCAGGGGGCTGGCTTCCCCGGGCCTTCCGGACCGCACACCCCGTAGTCAGGGCCACCCGTCCCGGGGGAATCTAGGGGTGCGCAGGGCCGTGGCACCATCCCCCCGCACCTGCCCACCTCGCGCCCCAAGTCCAAACCCCGCTCACAGCCGCCCCCGGCGAGGGAAAGCGCGCGGGGTACGGGCGGCCCACGGGAGGGCCCAGCACCCCCGGGCCCGGGCCGGCGCCTGCCTCCTCAGGCACAGCCCTCACGCGGGGCCCCTTATGCTCTCACAGCTCAGCCGGGGGGGCCGGGAGCCTGCGGGAGGGGCGCCGGTCCCACCCTGCGGGCTGTTCGCGGCTCCCGCCTGGGGCTGGCAGGTGGAGGAAGCAGATGGCTCGGCAGAAGCCAGCCCCGGGCCTGCAGCATCTCTCTCCCCACGGCGACACCTCGCAGCGTGTCTGATGCCTCGGCGTTGGCACGAGCAGGCAACGTCAAGCATGCAGGCGGCCTGGCCGGCTGGGGTCCCTGGAGACCGGCATGAGCCATGGCCTGACGTGACCCGTCTTCGCCGTCCAACCAAGACGGACCATCGTGGGTTTTTTCACGCTGTTGCCGAGTAAACCAACCAAGCCATGATTTTGACGAAGGCCAACCATCCCATGCGACGTAGCCCACAGGCCCCAGCGCGGCCTGTCCGGTGGCGGCAGTCACGGTTGTCACCGAGTACTTCCCGCGCACGGGCACCCTCGTGTGCACAAGTCCGCTTCCGCCCCCTCCCGCCTCACGAGGAAAGTGTGACTCGTGAGAGCCAGCTGCTCCCTGAGGTCCCCGGTGAGGCCTCGGTGGAGCAGGGTCCAAACCGTGCGTGAGGCCGGGTCTCCGGCGCAGCCGGCAACCCAAGGCTGCAAGCGGAGGGCTGGGCCTGGTGTCCCGTCCCGCCCTCCCGTCCTGGCTCGCTGAGAGCAAGTTCACTGCACAGGGCTCACACGGGACTTCCCCGCTGAGCTCCACGGGCTTCATGCGGACAGCACGTCAGCCGAAGGTGCACAGAGGCAGCTTAAAGGAAAGGCAACTCTGGTGGCTGCCGACAGGGTGATAGGTAGGTTTTTGTCACCCTTTTTCTAAACACACAGCGCCCGTGTTTAACTCCCCTGGACGCAGGCAGGAACTTGCTGCAACCCAGGCCTGCGAGGGGTGAGGTTCGGGAGCACACGTTCCAGGCGACGCGCTGCTCGCTTGTGAGGAGCATCTGGGTTCCCCAAACCCGGGCCTTGACCAGTGGCGGGCCTCCCGGGAAACAATAAATAACGAGGTCCCCTCCTATGTGCTCCCCCGCACCCCAGGAGCATCCCAGAGCCGGCCCACCAGTGTGGCCAGCACGGGGGACGGGGGGACCAGGGACGGCACTCCCGGGCTTTGTGACCGGGACATGAGAGAGGGGAAACGGGACTGGGAAAAACCCCGCCGTGCGAGATGCGTCCTGAAACGCACGCACCCGGCCAGGGCGCCGCGGGGCGGGGGCGGGGGCGCGGAGCCTGCCTGCAGCGGGGACACTCACATATCATGGTGGTCCCGCCCGCCAGGGCCGCCTTGGTGCCCTGGCAGAAGTCGTCGGCCGGGGTCATGCCCAGGACGGGCATCTGCAGCCTCGTGTGCACGTCGACCCCTCCCGGAAGCACCAGCAGGCCGTGAGCGTCGATGGTCCTGATGCCCCCAGGGACGACAAGGTTTTCTCCAATTTGCCTGGATGCGGCAGAGAGAGGGGCCGCGGGTTAGGAAGAACCCCACGCGGCCCAGGAACGGGCCCCGGGTGCGCAGCAGAGCCATGGGGCGCGCGTTTGGGCTCCTGCCCCCGAGGAAGCGGCCGCCCCGCCAAGGCTCCCTGGGCTCCTGAGGCTGTCAGAGGGCAAGTCGCCCGGCCTGGGGGCCAGCCCCGAGGGCACGTCACAGTCCCGGGGCGTCCGCCGAGGAGTCCACGTGCCCTTCGCCGACTGCTGGCTGGAGAGGCATCACACCGATGAGCAGAGAAGCTACCGGCGTGGCCAACGACAGGGGGCTCCACGTCCCAGCCTTGCTGGGACGCAGCGAGAAGCACGGACACTGTCGCCCTGCTTCTGAGACGCACGACTAGCAGGCGCAGCGGCCCCCCCACCCCGGGCCTGCGCCACAGTGGCTGGCGGGAAACGGCGACGCGCGAGGTGGACTCCACAGGACTGCACGTCCCGGCGAGCACGCCGTCGGCTGTGCACCGCGGCCAGGGAGGGCGCTTCCGGCGGGCACTTACTTTATCAAACCGTCTTCCACGTACAAGTCGGCGTAAAAGGACTGGTCATCGTTCACGACCTTCCCGCCTTTGATCAGAAGGCGGTCACTCTACAGCAAACAAGCAAAAAAAAACAGGGAAGTTTTCTCCAAACTGAGTTACCCAACAACATCCTTGGAACAACACCTCAGTCTACAGGAGACTCCGGCCGGGGAAGGGAACGTTCGGGCATAGTCTGTGCATGGAAAACCCAACGCAACGGAAAAGCCAACAGCACCGTCCCCTGGGAGGAGGGGCGGAGGGAGGCAGCCCCACCCACCCCTCAGGGCCCTGCGCCCGCCCAGCGCCTGCGGCACAGCCGGGCAACCGCCAGCCAGCGGACGCCCTGCAGCGGGGCCTCCCCTTCCCGCCTCCCCCACTGGCCAGCGGTCTGTCCCCACCAAGGGGGTGCAGGGACAAGCAGGGAACCTGGCTCCTCGCTTTGTTAAGAAAGCCACCATGAGCAAGTGTTGTGATGGAATGGGCTCCACCGATGTCCTCAAGCCTGTCCCCTAACTCGACACCCAGGCCGGGGGCAGAGGCGGGCAAAGTCCCACAGCGTCTGCGCTGGCCCGGAGGGCTGCCCTCCCCCTCGGTCCCCCCCGCCCCCCGCCACTGCCTCAGAGAAATGGCACACAAGGCCACTCCACCGTGACGAACACGAGAGGACAAAGAGGGTGACGCGGTGGAGGGCGGGGGAGGAGTCGGGCGCCTGGGGACCGGCAGGGCCTGCCGCGGGGCTGAGGCCCACACGTGCGAAGGCCGGCGGCCGGCGGCCGGCGCACCACCAGGAAACACGGCCACCGGGGGCTGGCAACTTCCGGGGGGAGTGGTGGGACCGCTGGGCCGCCCGCGGGGCTTCCGCGGGGCCTCGGCGGGGCCGGAGGAGGTTTCAAAGAGACCGCATTGGCTCTGCAAGGAAGGAGCCTAGAACCCGGATGGAAACAGGTCCGTCGCTCAGTGGTTTCTGAGGCTGCCGGGTGAGAGGAGGGGCCCCGGGCCAGGGGGGCCCCGAGAGGCTGCGGGGATGAAGGGCTGGGGAGGCATCGGGCGCCCACAGCTGCGGTGCTGCCCAGAAGCTCCCCAGGTGGGTGGAGAGCACAGTGTCGGGGGCGAGCGAGCCGGCCGTGGCGAGTCCACCGCGGCCCGGAGCTGGGGCCTACGCGAGGCAGGGCCGAGGCCCAGCCGCCACAAACGCTCCACGCGCCCCACCAAATGTCGGGACAAAGCGGGGTGCGGTGTGAGGGCTGTTGGGTGGCAGCCGGACCCCGGGGAGCACGACGGAGGGCGGAGCCGAGTGTGGGCCAGGGCGGCCCTCCAGGGTGCCCACCGCTCTGGTAGACGAGGACAGCGCCCCCCAGAGGCCCGGCTGGAGCTCAGCGGAGGGCAGGGCAGGAGGGGGCCTGGGGCTCCTTCGGCTCCAGCAGCCCGACGCCAGGGGGGCCGAGCCCGGGCAGTGCCCTGGGAGGGAGCTCTCAGAGCCTCTCCAGTGGCCAATAAGCCAGGGCTGCCGAGCCAGGTGATGCTGTTCTCCGTCCTCACCGACACCAAGGACCTTTCGGAATTCTCAGGTGAACCCCCCCATCGAGTCTATAAAAGGCAGCCCCCACCATACAGCCCGGAGCGGATAATTCTACATTTTACATGAGCTGAATAACATAAAAAAAAATTCACGCCTGGTAAAAGCGACATGAAATCCACATACCCCCCTTCCCAGTTAGGAAGGGACTTGTGCCCTGCCCCCTCACTCTCCCACCCCAGTTTTCAAGTATCTGGCCTTGGAACCCAAAGAGAAAAGCTGTGGTGGGGGGGCCCGACGCTCAAGATGGGGCGGAAGTTCCCCTCAACCAGCCCTTGCCCAAGGCCACCCATGGAAAGGGGTCTTCCTGACCCCCAGCCCCACTCCTACCCACCCCCTCCTCTCCCTGCCGGCCAGCATCGGGGGACCCCTCCTGCCCCGGGGGACAGGGCTCCTTGAGGGGCTCAGGGGGCGAGCCGGCCGACGCAGCGACCCACCGCCCGCCCACAGAGGCCCAGTCCCGAGTCGTGTCGGAAACCCCGCGCCCACCACCCCCGCCACCGGCCAGCTGGCGCCCCGGCTCGTCCCTCCCCCACGTCGCGGGCTCCCGGTGCCTGGAGGGGAGGCTTTGTCTCCTGGCAGCGGAGGGCGGAGGGTCGGTGCGTGTGCGTGTCACGGGGTCTCTCCCCCCGGGGTTGGGGGTGTCCGCTCTGCGCCTAGGGAGCTCGCCTCCCCGTGGTCCCCGAACCCTGGACGCAGGGAGGGGGTCGGTTCGGGCTGCCAGGGGCTCCGGCGAGAGGCCAGGCAGAGTCGCTTTGTCTCGGAGGGAACACGAGCCCGGGCCGCCGCGCGCGCGCAGCCTGGGGGGCGGGCGGGCGGGCGGCCTGGGGGCGGCTGCGCCGCGAGCGGCCGCTCCAACAAAGGGCCGCGCCACCCAGGACCGTGAGCGGAGTTTGAGGCCCGATCCACAGCCCCCGCGGCCACCGCGGGGAGCGAGGCGTGTCTGCGCGCTTTGGAGAGGGGGCCAGGCCCGCGTCCCCCCAGGCTGAGCGGGGATCCCAGGGAGCCAGCAGGGCCCGGGCCGGCGCGCCTGGCTAGTGAAGGGGTCGGGCCGCGCTACGGGAGACCCCGGCCGGGGAAGGGCCGGCGCCCGGACAGAGGCTTGTGCGGGGAGGGACTCGGAGGGCGGGGGGCCTGGAGCGCGGATGTCCAGGCCGGGGACAGAAGGCGCCGGGCGGGCACAGCGGGCCGGGTGCGGGGCTCACCGTGATCCGGGGGATGCTCTTCTTGCCTTGGAAGGACATTTTCCTCTCGTCCGGGGGTCCGGCCTGCAGGTCCGGGGCGGGGGCCGCTGGAGCCGGGCGCGGGGACGCGCGGAGCCGGCGGGGACGTGGGGGCGCCGGGTGTCGGAGTAGGAGCGCGCGGTTCGCGTGGCTGCGTTCCAGGCCCCGCCCCGGGCAGGCCCCGCCCCCGGCCCGCGGCTGCTCATTTGCATTCGAGTCCCGCCCCTGCCAGGCCGAGCACCCCGCGGCCGGTCCCTCAACTGCCGACCCCAGGTCCCCGCACTGGCTCTGCCGTCACCCTCTGCCGCCCCCGCGACCTGCGGGCCCCGCGCCCCGGAAGGAGCGAGGTCAGCCAGTGTTCGTCAGGCCAGTCCCTTGAGGCCTGAGGCGCCCAAGGCTCGGGGGTGGACCCCAACCTCGAGTTCAAGTCCGCAGCCGGGCTGCCCGGGAAGGGGTCTCCCGCCGAAGCCGAGCCCCTCGGGGACCGCCGGGTGGGGACGCGGCGCTAGGCTGCACGCTGTCCCTGGCGTCGACCGGGCGGTGGAGACACCTGCCAGCGAGGCTGCGCGTCCAAAGTTTGGGGACGGAGGGAGGGACAGGTTGCAGAGTCACCCGAGATGGAGAGACATATAACGAAACAGCCGCGCAGAGCCCGGGGCGGACGCGCGGGAGGCCCAGAGCCGGGCCCGAGGCCGAGCCTCGACGGGGCTGGGGAGCGAAAGCCGAGCGGAGGAGCCGCGGACTGCGACTGGCCAGCCGGGCGAGGCCCCGCCTCGAGCCCGTGTCTCCCCGGAGGCGCTGGCCGAGGTGGGAAGAGGGTGCGCTTCCTCCCCGCGCGCCACCCCCACGCCCGGCGGCCGCCCGATGCGGGTGCGCGGTGTCTCAGGGAGTCGGGAGCCCACATCCCCGCCTTCGCAGCCTCTTCCCTGCGGCCACTGCCTCCCTGGGCCGCCGGCTGGGCCGCGTAGGGCCTGCCTCGCAGAGCCGCTGCGGCCGCTGACCGTCTCGCCCGGCGCTTGCAGGCCCTGAGTCCCGCGTGGTCCGCGGTCGGGCTCCCTGGCTCGAGGGCCCCGGCGGCTGCTGCCCGGCGCCTCTGGCGCCAGGGCCTTGTTCCCAAACGCGTCCCGCTCGCCGCGGACGACCCCGCCACGCTCGGGCCGCGACCGAGGGCGGCCTGCGCCCTGCGAACCCAGGAACTCGGGCAGAGGCTCCGCGGGCTCCGGCGGCCGGCGCGCCGCCACGGCAGGTGCAGGAAAAGGGGGGGGGGCCCGGAGCCTCCTGAGGCGGGCGTGGGGCGCTGCCTGCAGACCAGGCGAACCTGGCCTGGCGCTGGCTGCCCCGCCGCGCCAGGCCAGGCCCCAGGGCGTACAGTCTGTCCCAGCCAAGCGCAGCTGCTCTGCTGAGCACCTGGGTTCCTCCTCCCGCTCCTGCCGCTGGGTGGGCGGGTGAGGATCGGGCACAGGACAAACCACGGGGTGTCGGGACCTGCCGCAGCGGCGTTTCCAGGCCCCGTGTTGCGGGGAGTGGGGGTGTCCCACAACAGGCTAGGAGGCTCTGACTCCAAACTTGGCCAAGTCTGGGTCGGGGTGGCCCGTCCCCGCGCCAGCGGCTCCTGGCTGCTCTCCGAGCCGAGTTCAAGGCTCTGGGGAGCAGAGGTGGGCGCTCTGCATAGGCCCAGGACCACAGGGCCACGCCGTCGCTCTGTGGAGCCCTGCGGACTGATTTCCAAGGAAAGGGTGGTCCAGCCTTGGCGTTCTGTTAGCGCAGACAGCACTCCGAGCGCAAGGGCGGGCAGCCCTCAGCTGCAGCGCTTGCGGGCAGGGCTAAACCAGTGCTCTCTCTTCTCCCCAGAGCAGTCAACAGAGCACCCTTCACTCACCCGTGGGCAGGTCCGTGTGCAAGTCTGCGGCCAGGCGTTTGCATTCAGTCGCAGAATTCTTCCTCTTCGCCAAATTACCTGACTCCCCTCCCCTGGCTCTCCTTCAATAACCAGCGACGGGGCGGCCTGCCCCACGTCCTCCTGGTGACCATCCGTGGCCCATGACCCCCCCCTGCAGTGGGGGGTGGGCCCAGGCCCCCTCCTGGGGTGGGGAGAGGCGTGGCTCGCACCCACGCAGACACAGAGGCGGCTGCCACTGCCCGGCTTTACTGCCTGGTGAGAACGTTGGTCTTCTAAGATTTATAACAATTTTTATTAAAACTGTACAATAAGTTACAAATGAGTAAAAATTCTCTGATATATTGTAGGAATCACAGTACAAAAATATGTGTAAAATTCTGTGGTCGGTGACCATACAAACCTACTCAGGCCAGCGAATACTGTTTAGCATTGAACAGATCACGCGTGTGGAGTGTGTACTGAGTTTTCCAGGGACTGCAAATACTGGCTGGCATGTCGCCACGAGGAAAAAGTCCAACTCCATTTTTTTTTGCATAAATTTACAGTAAAGCTTTTAAAAAATACACAGTAAACAAATGTAGCATCTGATACGTATATTTACAACTTGATTTCCTGAGCCTGAACGTAAGTCCATGACTGTGCCGAGGCGCATGGCCCACCCCAGGGCTCCGGCGATGCGGTGCGGGCAGGCGCGGGCCCATGTGGCTGACTGAGCCTCAAACCCGGGCCCACGCCTGCTTGCCGACGCCGCGGAAGGCACGCGGGGTGTCCTGAAGGCTCGGGGTTCTGCGCGGCCTCTCCGCAGCCCGGACCCGGACCCGGACCACGGGAACGAGGGGCGCGCACATCCGTGTCAGCAAGGGGGCGGCAGCTCACCCGGGTGTTGGCCCGGGTGCGCACACAGCGGGGCGCGGGACAGCTGCCGCCGTGCTGGCGGTTTGGTTACGCAGGCGGCGTTTCCGGCAGCGCCTCCGGGCCCCCGGCTTGGTCCACTAGGGAGCGAGGCGCTCCCCGAAGCACTGCCCTCTGAGCCGCCCAGGGTCTTGACCCGGAGGCGCAGCCGGCGATGCAGGACGTGCACCTTCCTTAAGAACGTGCCTTCTTCAGATGCCCCTGAGCAGGCGGGAGTCAGCGGCGAATGCTCACATTCTGCCCTCTGGCCACAGCCCCATCCTGACATGCTGGTTCCGTGACCGGACGGACCGGGGCCTGACACGTGACCAAGAGCCGTGACGTCTGAAAAGGACGAGGGACATTGTGCCTTGGTGTGTGCTCCCAGGAGGGCGGCAGGGGTCCAGACGGCCTGGGGCTTGGACGTCATGACGACAGCCCCTGAGCCGCCCTCTCCCCTGTGCACGCGCCTCCCCCCGCCACACACACGCGCGCGCGTGCGCGCAGGGACGTGCGCATGCGCACGCCTCTCTCCTGCGCAGTGACGAGCTGCTATAAAGGGTATATTGCGGGGCGGGGGGGGGCTGGCATATGAAGCACCCCAGACACATGGACGACACGCCAAGCTGTGACAATCCAAGGAGACAGGGGTGCGACTTTGGGTTTCAAGCTCATGTCTTCCGATCCCGAAGGGCCGCCCGCACGGCGCCGCGCGTGCAGGTGTGCGTGGGCCTGGACCCCGGGTGTCCCCCACACCCGGGCCGCGCGTCCCTCACGCTTGGAGCGGCACACCCACACCCCGTGCGGGCTCTCGTTCACGCCGGCCTGCGGCAGCCGCCTGGCTCAGAGCGCAGCCGGAGTGCCCGGACGGCGCAGCCGGGGGCGGGACAACCCGCACGGGGGACCCCGCGAGGTTTCCGCGGTGCGGAAGCAGCGCCCTGCCCCGCTCTCGTCCACGTGCGCAGGTCAGCGAGGCCTTGTCGGCAGCAAAGGACGGGCCTCCTCGCGCCAGCGTCCAAGGCAGCGCTGCCCGGCGGGACCCCGCGATCACCCAGACGGTGCGGCCCGTCTGTCCATGAACATGGGAGCCCATGAACGTCTCCCAGCTCCAGTCTAGGGGCTCGAGCCTGTTCCGGCCGCCCTGCCGGCCGCAGCAGAGTGGGGCCTTTCTTCCGCCACAGACGCAGAGTGACCTCCATGCTTCCGGACAACACGGTCCGCCTCCCTCCGGCCTCTCAGGGACACGGCCCACGATCTCTCCGACGACGCTGGGAGCTCCGCTTCCCCCTGGCTGCCAGCTCGTTGCCCACTGCGCTGACCTCTGAGTGCCCACAGCCCAACGCCCGCGCGCAGTCTCTGGCCGAGCGCCTGGCTGCCCATGCACACACGTGCACACACGTGCACACACCAGCACCCCTCTCAGCTTCTTCAGCTCCGAGAGCAACCACCTCCGACCATCCAGCGGGGAGGCCCGGGGAGCACAGGATGCCGAGCCGCATCTGAGGGCGGGGCGGCGGACCCGAGCCCGCGAGCCCTTGGTGGGAAGGCACGTCACACCAAAGCTGGCTCCACCCGCCTGCGGTTTCCTCTGGAAAAGAGTGAAGACAAAAGCTTGATTTTGGCGTGAGATCTCCCAGGCCCTCGTGGGGCCACACGAGAGCGGGCAGGCCCTGGGGAAGCGCCGCGGGGCCACGTTTGAGCCTCGGCCCCGCAGACGCAAACAACCCTTCCTGGGAGGCCACGGGACCCCCAAGGGGCATCCGTGAGCCCCATGTGCAAAGCTGTGCGTGCAGTGGCCTCAGCCACCCTCCAATGCCTGGGGCAGCCGCCCCGTGTCTACCCCTTGTTCCCTTCTCGCTACTGAGCAAAGGGCTGCATGAGGCAGCAGCAGATCTCCCTCATCGCCTTTTCCATTTGTGACGCCTGGAACAGCCAGGAAGGGCCCTGTCACAAGCAGGGCGGCAGGAGGGAGGGCAGGGTGGGGGGGCCAAGGCGACACCCCTGGGGTCACCGGCGCTGGACACGCCGCAGGCTGCTCATCCAGCAGCGGCTGGGAGCATGGTGTGGGTTGTTGTGGCTTTGGCGTCTTAGCCCAACTTCTAAGCAAGGGGACAGTCCCCCGAGAGCTCCGTGGACGGACCCCTGGCCGTCAAGGACGGCCGCCAGCAGCCGCGCCTCCCTCTGCACTTAGGACAGTGAGGCTGCGGCGACGTTTCACACTGAGCGGCACCGAGGGCCGGGGGCCAAGGACAGGAATACGTAGAAAACCGAAGCCGCGGCCCCGGCTCACTCCACACGTGGCACCTGGATGGACAGAGGCGGGGCGGGGCGGGGCGGCCGCCAGGGCGTCCACGTGGCCCCTGGCCCAGCGGGCGGGAAGGCGGCCGCAGAAGCAGGGCGCCCATCGTACACGTGCAAACGGACCGAGCACGCAGGCCAGGAGACGACATTCTGATTCTGTTGGAACAGCCCGAGGACAGGCCTGCGTCTGTGCGGGGACTCCCCGCCGAGGCTGCTGGGAAACGCGGCTGCCAGCACGGGAGGAAGCTCCTCCCTTCCGGGGCTGGGGGTCCCAGAAACGCACAGGACACAAGCGAGCTGGGGCCCCGCACTGGGTGCGTGGGCAGAGGTCCAGGTGGGCGAAACCTTTGTTCTCGGCCCCCAAACGCCACCCCTACTTCCTGTGTGCTGGTCCCCCCACCATGTGACCCACACAAATGCGTATCATCCGCGTCCAGGACAACGGAGCCGGGGCCGGAACCACCTTCCCACGTGGCTCTGTGTGTCTGAGAAACTGTTGCCAAACGTTTTCAGACCAAATGGGAACAGCGAAGCCTGCTGGGGTGCGCCGCCCTACCTAAGCGTGTCCCCACCAAGGACCCGCGTCTCGGCGGGGCCGCCCTGGGCGGAGCGGGACCAGACAGGCCCCGAGCCCCGGGAGGGCCGAGCTGCCCCCGCGGCCGTGGGGGGGGCCTGACCTGCTGGCCACCCCGGCGTCCGGCTCTCCTCACGTTCCCAGGCGCGCGGCCGCCCCCTCGCCGGGCCGCCCTGGAGCCCGCAGGGCCGAGTCTGGCCAGGGCAGCTTCGGCCGCGCTCGGCTCCCCGCAGCCCGCAGGCCTCCGGCGGCGGCGACGGGCCCCGGGGCCTCGGCGGGGTCTGTGCTGAGCCGCCGGGGGGCCTCCGGGGCGTCTCAGCGGCGCGGCCCCTCTGCAGGGGACCGTCCCCGCCTGGTCCAATTTCCTATCGTCGTCCTCACGCTCCGTCCTGCCGGGCTCCCCAGCTGCGGCTCAGAGCGGGACCTCCCGTCTCGGCGGGCGCAGGCGGCCACGGGGACGCCACGGGGACAGCGTCATGACAAGGGGGCTCGTGGCGTGTCCACCAGCAAGCATCTGGGACCGCAGTGAGCGAGTGCGGCGGCCCAGGGAGACGCCGCCGCGACGTCCGGGGGCCTGCTCTGGCTTCCCTGAAGCAGGTCCCCGCGGCCTTCCCTCCGTCGCCCCGGGGGGCGCCGGCCCTTTCCTGAGGTTCCTCTCCGAAGCCCGTGCGACGGCCACAGCGGGCCAGGCAGGGTGGGCGTGCAGGCGCGGGTCGCGGCCTCCGCCCTGCGCATCCCTCGAACCGGGATGGGGGCTGCGCCCCAAGGGGGGCCCGGGGTCCAGCAGCCAAGACCGGGTCCCTCCAGGAAACGAGCCCTCGGCCCCTCGAGGCAACGGCCGCCGCCCAGAGCCGCTCACGCCCGCCCCCTGCCGCCTCCCCGACAGGGGGCGTCCGCGCAGGCTGGAGCCTCCTGCGTCACCAGGGGCGGCGCTGGCTGTCCCGCCTCGCCGCGCAGGCACCCGCTGCTCTCTGGTCCAGCTGGAAGCACAGGGCCCAGCTCCGCTGGGGGCTGGAAGGACAGAGACGTGGACCCGTGATGGAGGCAGCTCGGCGATGGGGAAGGGGCTGCAGGGAGGAGGCCCGGGGGGGGGCGGCCACCGCTCCAGGGGGAAGGCCCTCCTGGGCGCCCTGTGGGGGGCGGGGGCCTCGGACAGAGACCCTCCCGTGCTGTGTTGGGGGGGGGGCCGCTTCCACACGGGGTCTGGGTCTGAAAGCCCGTGCCAGGGAACCTGGCCCTTCTGGCTAAATCTGCCGCGCCCCCCAAGCTTGCATGACACTGCTCCGCCAGCGTCGCGAGGCATTCGGGGTGCACAGCCCCTGCTGCGGGGGTGCACGGGTCCTGCCCCTTCCTTGCCCGGGAAGCCCCCGGGGCCGGCTGAGGGTCCTGGGCTGCGGGCAGGGGCAGAGGGGGGCCCTCGCCCCGAAACTGCAGCCGGCGACATACTCACCACGTCAGGGCGCCCAGGTGAGCTACGACCAGAGAATGAAAGCTAAGGAGAAAAACAAGAACAAAAATAGAAACTGAAAAGGAGGGGAGGGAGGAGACACAGAGGGAAAGAGAGAGAAAAGAGAGTTTGTAGTACTTCCGGCAGGAAACAGCGCGATCACAGACAGAACAGACGGAGCGTCGGCCGTGGCTCAGGCGCAGTCCGGGCGCGCTGGCGTCCGGCGGCCACGGAGAGACATGCTCTGGGGGGCCTCGCTCTGGCCGGAGCCGAGGTGGGGCTGCGGGCGACCGCCAGGAGGCCGCGTGTCTCGGCGTCCACAGCACGAGCAAGCGTGGCCGGTCGCCTCGCCTCCCGGGGCTTGGCTTCCTCCTCCGTGGGGTGGACTGGCCACCAGAGCTGTGGGCGACCATGCGCAGGGGCGGATCCCACTCACAACGCCAATACCAAGGCCCCCCGGCGCCCTGAAGGCCCATCATCAGTGACGAAGCACCAGCGGCGTCCCGAGGACGTTTCGCACGCGGAGCCGCATCCGGGGCTGGGGGCGGGGACCAGAGCTACTGAGGCCCGAGAAAATCTGGCCTTGATCCAATTGCTTGGAAACCCAGAGCTACTCTAGGTAGGTTAATGGGATGAAGACGCCAGTATTTAATACAAACAGATGCTCTTTAAGCCCTGGCTGGTGGGACTCAGTGGACTGAGCCAAAGGGTCGCCGGTTCGATTCCCAGTCGGGGCACAGGTCTGGGTTTCAGGCCAGGCGCCCAGTAGGGGACGCGCAAGAGGCAGCCACACATGCATGTTTCCTTCTCTCCCTCCCTCCTCCTCTCTTTAAAAATAAATTAATAAAATATTTTTAAAAATACAAACAGATGCTCTTTAAGACGCAAAAGGGAGCCGATGTTCCTTTTTTGGGGAGCGGGAGGCCCCGCGCATGGCGAGGCTGGAGCCCCGAGCACAGCACGCCCCTCCTGGGTGTCTCGCGAACACATGAAGCACAAACCCTTGTCTGCCCGCCACCAGCTTGGAAGCTGTGCCCTGCAGGGCCCTGGGGGCTGGGCGGGTGGGGGAGGAGCTGTGCGAGGGCTGTTGTCGGGAGGGGACCCTCTGTTCCGGGAACAGAGTGCCCGCCAGCCCTTCTGCCAGGACGTGCACACAGCCCACGGCGAGGGAGTCCCGTCCACACACCAGCCTCCTGCGCTCCGGAAGGGACAAGCAGGGAGGTGGGTCCCACTGGCCTCTCCCCTCCGCACTCAGTGGGGAGTCGGTCACTCCCTGAGATCGCCCCCCAGGCAGGACCGGCCACGAGAACCGATCACTTCTGGTCACCAGAGATCACGGAAATGTCCCTAAATTACAGGGGGGGAAATACTGCCCTCAACTAAGCAAAACCCTACAGGGAGAGCCAGGGTGGGCCCGGGCTGCTCCGCGCAGCTCGGCCAAGGGAGCGCCAAGCCACACAGTTACGGTGAGTGGGCCGAGCACCCATGCCTCACGTCTCACAGGTTGGGGGCCAGGAAGAGAGCCGGGCAGCTGCCCCAGGCCCCCAACCGCCTGGCCCCATCTAGCCGCCTGCCCGCGCAGTTTCCTGACCCTGGAGGCAACTGTGCGAAGGACCAGAGCCAGGAGGCGCATGCGGGACCGGCGGCCTGCCTTGGAGGGACACCCCAGCCTGCAGGAGGTTGGTTTTCGGTCCAGCACACTCAGGGGACTTGTAAAAAGCAAACGCTTCCGCACGGCTGTCAGGGAGCCTGGGTCGCTGTTCCGACCGCCCTGCTACAACTGGGGAAACTGAGGCCGTGAGAGACGTGCACCCCCAAGGTCGCGGGGCGGGGCCATGGCAGAGGGGGCGTCCCAGACCCCAGACCCAGGCTCCTGGCCAGGAGCTGCCACGGCCTGAGGCCTCCGTCCATCCACGGGAGCTGACCTCAGACCCGGCCGGCCTTCAACGACGCGCCCACCAGCAAGCCGGCTCTCCCCCGTTTCTGATGCTCCAGTAACAGAGCCCGACATCCGCGTCGATTTTACCTTTTCCTCCAGTTCCTTTATCTGTCTCTTCTGAGCTTCTATTCTTTCTTCTAACTCTTTAATTCTCTGCAATGTTCAAAGGAGGAAAGTCTTCAATAATCAGGGTATTGGGGAAAAAGGCTTCTCAAGGTGTCCCTCGGGCTTGGTGCACCGATGGACGCAGAGCCTCCGCGGCGCTGGCCGTGAGGCCTGGCGGCCGTGCTGGCTGGGCCCCATCTTCAACTCTGGTCTGCGCCGTGCAGCCGGAGCCTCACCCCGTGCCCCCTGTGGCGCCTGGGACGGGGGCCTGCCGGCCTGACCCCGGACACAGCTGTCCCCGGTGGCTTTGCTTGGCCTCCCCTCGGGCTCCCCCTGCCGCCGGCAGCTCCCGGCCATCAGCGCGATGCTGGACACCCAGGGGAATGGCGCGGGCCGAGGGGCATGGGACGCGAGTCTGCGTGCGCCCGCGGCTCCGGGGCCCGGCCGGCGCCCCAAGGCAGCAGCGCTCTGACCACAGCCGACAGCCCTCATGCTGACCGCCCTGGACCCGGGGCTGAGGATCCTGACAGCTGGTAACCCTCTGCTCGGACATCGGTCCCTGGCAGCCACCGAGAACCTCGCCGACTGGCGGGGAGGCATCGTGTCTGGGTGTCCTGAGCAGTACCCACATCCATGTTCCCCCGGGGTCATGCGGGGACAGACGGGGGAGGGGAGGCATGTCATCCACACCAGGGGGTCTAGAGGGCCAGGGTCCCTCACGCCCCGCCCTGCTCCGCCCTGTGAGAAATGGACAGGCCAGAGGAGACCAGGGGCTGCGCCCCAGCCCATGAGCTGCTGCTCCCCAGGTGGCAGCTTCACCACACTCTGCCTGGGGGCCAGGGGTCCCAGAAGAGGGAACGCACACCCAGGGGCCAGGGCAGTGTGGCCCGGGAGGCTGGCCTGGAGCGGCAGGCGGCCTGGCAGGGGGGTCCACCATGGGTGTGGCCATGGAAGGCTGCGGTCTTCGGAGTGTGGCTACCAGGGGACATGTTCCTGGCACCATCCCCTAGGCCCCCGCCTGCACCTGCTGTGCCAGCGGCAGCGGCCCCGTGCGCCCCCCTCCCCGCCCTCCCCCCCGCGCCTGCTGTGCCAGCGGCAGCGGCCCCGTGCGCCCCCCTCCCCGCCCTCCCCCCGCACCTGCTGTGCCAGCTGCAGCAGCTCCATGCGCTCCCCTCCCCGCCCTCCCCCCGCACCTGCTGTGCCAGCTGCAGCAGCTCCATGCGCTCCCGCAGGATCTGGGCGTCCCGCTCACGCAGCTCGCTCATGACCTGGCGCTTCCACTGCTCCACGGCCACCCTGAGCGTCTCCCGCTCGTCCTCCGACAGCAGCTCGGCCATCTTGGCCCCCGCCTCCTGCTGCAGGGCGTCGAACAGCATGGCCTCCAGCTCCAGGATGTGCTGGGAGGGAGGGCAGAGGTCAGCCTTCACAGCTGGGGGCCAGGCACCCCGTCCCTCAGGGTCACACCTCCGAGCCCGTGCACGGAGGGCACGCCTTCCTCTGTGACATCGCGGCGTGGACACTGGGCCCTCCACATGACCATCGGGAAGACGCGGTCAGCAGACACACAAGCCCAGAGTGGGGGCAACAGGGAGTGGGCAGCCCCGAGGACAGAGCGGAGAGGGAAGGCCTCTTCCCTGGCTCACAAGGCCCGTCAGGCCCGGCGCGGGGGGCAGTGCTCCCAGGGCGTGTGGCGGGAAGGACGGAGGGGCAGGTCCTCGACTCCCCACCGGTCCCCGTCCGAGGCCGGGCCTCTGTCATCCTCCCTGCTGCCTGTGGCGGGGCGGGCTGTGTCCCCAAAAAGATTCGTTCAAGGCCCTCCTCACACCAGGCGGGAGGGCCGTGGAGTGTCGCTCTGGCACGGGGCGCAGACACGGGCTCCCTGGCCCCCGAGGGGTCGCAGCGCCCTTGAGGAGGCAGGGTCGGGCCGCGGGCGAGCCCAGGCCAGCCGGCTTGCCCCTCCGGCAGCAGCACCGCCCACGCTCCGGGCCACGGCCCGCTCTGCGTGCGGCCCTGCGGGTGGGCGGCTTCCCTGCGGGCCCGGGAGAAGGGCGACTGTAGGGGCCCCGGGGCCGCCACCGATCTCAGAGGAGGGGCCCGGGGCCCCGCAGGCCCCTCAGTAAGAGACCAGGGGGAGCAGAGAAGCTGGCCCAGCCAAGGCGCCGCCAGGCCCGCAGGCCCCGGGTCAGGGCCGGTGCGCGAGGCCCAGGGTGGGGGAGGACTGGGCTGTGAGCCGAGCGGCCACAGAGGGGACACGGTGACGAGCAAAGACCAGAGCGGGCCTGTGCTCTGTGCCCCCCACCTCCCGAAGTGCCGTCACGGCTGAGGACGCCCCGCAGGTCAGCGCAACCGGGCCCGTGCTGTCACGCAGCAGCCGAGCGCACGCCCGGCTGCCAGCGCCTGGGGCTGAGCCGCGCGACCTGGGCTGCTCGCACAGCGATTTCCTCTGGAAAAGTGTGATGGGCGCAGTCTGAAAAAACCAAGTTCTCAAACTACAGAAACCCACCTTCCTGTCAAAAACGCGGCACCTTCAGCCCTGGCGGGTGCGGCTCAGTGGACCGAGTGCCGCCCTGCGAACCAAAGGGCCGCCGGTTCGATTCCCACCCGTAGGGGGGGCACGAGAGGCAACCGCACGCGGATGTTTCTCTCCTCTTTCTCCCTCCCTTCCCCTCTCTCTAAAGATAAATAAAATCTCTAAAAAAAGGGTAACAGCTTCAAAAATGACTGTTCACTTTTCTTTAGGCAAAATGACAATGACAAGTCCTTTAGGCTGAGTAGACATTTTAAGAAATGGGAAAAAACCCACTCCGGGACCTCCCCCTACAGTGCATTGTCCCTGGCGGCCACAGCATACGCTGTCCCCAGATCTCCCAGCTGCCCCCCGCCCCGCCACATGGGCGGCCCCTTCCCGAGCGAGGGCGCGGGGCATCCAGGAGATGCCCAATGCCCGGGCTTCTCACGCAGGCCCCGCTGAGCGGGGGGCTCAGAGTCCGCGCCCCAGGGGCTCACGGGAACTGGGGGTCGGGGGGACGCCGTCCATCGCCTCCCCACGACGCGCGGGCCTGGGGCTGCCTCTGGGACGCCTCTCTCTCTCCTGTCCACGCCAGGAAGGGGAGCTAATGCCTCTCGGCACCGGGAGGCGCCGAGGTGGGCCTCGGGCCTCCCAGGCTGGACGCTCGGTCCCAGACCCCAGGCCTGCTTCCGGCCAGTCCTTGGGCCACCTTGCTGGGGCCACCAGACAGCGTTTCCTGAACCAGCACATGACACGCGCTGAGGTGAAGGATTCGCACCCCACGGGGAGGCGGAGGCCCACAGCCGGGGGAGGGAGGACTGGGCGCAGAGCGGCCGTCCTGGGCGGGGCAGCCACCTGCTCGGAGGAGGGTCAGGGTCCGGGTCCGGGCCTCGCTCCTGCAGGAAGCCCGGGGCTCCCCGTGGGGCGCTGTTTCCCACGGGTGGGCGGGCAGGCCTGCTCCTCTCCAAGTGTGGGGCGGGGTCAGCGAGCAGAGCAGGAGCCCCCAGGAGAACCGTGTCACTTACATTCCGCTGTGTTCGGTTACTTTGCACGTGAGTCACATTTCGCGGACTCCTATCTTATCAGCGCCCCCCGCGTCCCTGTGATTCTGCCCTGGCGCTCCGTTCCCGGGCCAAGCATTGGATGGACCGGAGGGCGGTAAACGCAGCCCTGGAACTCGCCGGACCCGGGGCCCCGCACCAGTCACACAGGCCCAGGCCCCTCCCGGGCAGGTGCCGAGGCCCGGCCCCGCCAGCCCCCTCCCCCCCCGGCCGCGCCCTCACCTTGTGGGCCTGGTCCAGCGCCTGCTTCCTGCAGTCCAGCTCCTCGTCCAGGTAGCCCTTCTGTTTGCTGAACAGCTCCTGCAACGCCAGAGGGCCAGGGGCTCAGCGGGGCCGCGCGGGGGGCGGCACAGGCCCGCCGGGCGCCCACCGACCTTCTCGCTCTCCAGGTCGGCCATCTTCCGCTGCAGGGCTGACTCCGTCTCTTCGATCTGCTGCAGCCACTGGACACAGAACAGAGCAGGTGGCTGTGGCCCTCCGGGGACCGTCCCACCGTCCCGCTCCGCTCCGGGGAGACAGCCTGGGGGAGGAGGGAGGCCTGTGTCCCCCGACTCTCCCTCCCGGAGGGAGGACCCCCACCCTCGCCGGGGGTCTCCGCGACGTCCCTGTGCCGGGGGTGCAGGCCGCCGGGCTTAGCCCACAGCCGGCCCGGCCCCTAGCAAGTGGGCCCCCCGCCCCGCCCCAGGGACGGGAGGGGCGTCAGTGGGGGCAGGGGGGGCACACGCCCCGCGAGCTCCACCGGGAGGTGCAGGAGGGGCGCTGCCCACCCCGCCCCCGCCCCGCACCCACGCTGGCTGGGCGCCCCTCCTGCTGGAGGGCCAGGGGAGCGCACGCTGACGCTGACAGGGGAGCACTGGGCAGGCAGGGCTGTGTGTGGGACCAGGGGGCAGGGACGCGGGGGTGCGGGGGGCTCAGGCCGCGGCAGGTCAGACAGAAGGCGGGTCGCAGGGACTCGCCATGCTCCCGGCCCTGGGGGGGAAGGGGGCAGCGCTGGCCGACTCCATTATTTGCAAACACGCATGGGGGTATTTTTCAACCCCTGCGTGTGCGGGGCCCCCCAAGGCCGACAGGATCAGCGCCCCCGCCCCCCTCCCGGAGAGAGCAGGTTCTCCACGCCGAGCCCAGAGCGGGAGGCCCGCTGAGCCACGCTACCTTCTCCGCCAGGGTCAAGACTGTCCTGGCTTGTATGACGACCACCTGCTCTTCATTGGTCAGGTTCTGCGTCCAAAAGCAGCGCACACACAGTCAGGGGCTGGGCCTCCGGGGCGGCGGGAGGCGTGAGGGACCTGGCGGGGCTCAATGCGGGGGGCATGCTGGGGCGGCCGGGCTGCAGCCGAGGGCGTGTCCGCTGAGACGCCCTCCCCGGAGCCCGTGGTGCCCTCCGCTCTTGCCCCCGGTCACTCTGGACGCGTCCTCCTCTCTGCCCTTGCGCCCCCTCACGGCGGTGACCAGGGTGGCCTCAGTGAGCCCCCCCGGCGGAATGGGGCGGGGGGCAGCGCGCTGGGCAGGCGGGCAGCAGCGGGCGTGTGTCTGCTCTGCGTCCTCCTCTCCGTCTAAGCACAGCTCTCTGCGTGTGCAGCCCAGAGTCACGGAAGCACCGCACGCAAGCGTGGGGCGCAGACCGGGCGTGCCTGGCTGTGACACGGCCGCTGCCCGCGCGTTTCCGCCTCTTCCCTGCAGGCTTTAGTCATGTCTCATCCCAAGGGGCCCCCCGTGTGGTCCCTCCAGGCGGCTGGGTCTTTGGGGCCAAGGAGCACCCTCGGAGGACGTGGGCACAGGGCGCTGGCGCCGCTTAGGCACCAGTGCTGCCGCCGTGACCGGTGCTGGGGCCGGAGCTGGGCTGTCCACGCCTCCCACTGCCCGGGCAGCGCCCTAAGCGGGGTCTCCTGCCCCCCGGTACCCACATGGTCAGCACAGGGCAGGGGCTGGCGACCCACTGCTGCAGGCACAGAGGCAGGCGCTGCGCACGGGCGGTGCCGCGCCCCCAGCTCCGGCGTGGGGCTGGGCCCGGGGCCAGGAGCCCCGCATTCCTCTGCTCCCCGGGGAGCCGGCCAGGCTGTCTGCCTGCCTGGGCGCGGGGTGTTTGCATGCGCTTGTTTCCTTGTCCCTCCACCTGCCGTGGGAAGTGCCCTCATCTTAGGGCCTCGCTCTGCCTGGAGAGCAGGGACGAGGCTGGGGAGCCGTGGCGCCTCGGGACGGCGGGGGGCCTGTGTGGCGTGCACCTCGGGGAGGAGTCCCAGGGCGGGGCATGGGCGCCGCCACCAAGTACAGCCAACGCCCCCCTGGCCCCAGGCAGGGGACGCCGCGCGTGCAGGGTGAGGGAGGGAGGCTGGGTGGGAGGCGGGTGAACGGATGGATGGATGGAAGGGGGAGGGGTGGCGGAGGAAGAGTAAATGGGGCGGGCGGGCGGGCGGGAGGGGGAGGGCGATGGGGGACGGAGGGATGGGATGTAAATGGCCGGAGGACGGATGGGTGGACGGACGGATGGAAGGAAGACAGACGGATGGACAGAGGACGGAGGGGACTATGAACGGGCACAGTCCCTTTTTCCCCTCAGTAATTAGGATTCCTCCCAGGAGTGTGCTGTTGAAATTGGAAATCTGCCCTAACTGAGACCCGGGGATTGTTAGGGGTTCTGCCCGCCCGCCCTCCCAACAGGAAGTGAGGCCCCCGCGTCTGGGGCGTTTCAGGCCCCACGGAGCCCCAGCCCCTCCCGGCAAGGGTCTGGAGGAGCAGAAGAGGGAGAGGGGTTTCAGGAGCTGAGACCACATGGCCCGAAGCGTCTCCGCCGAGGGGCTGGGTGTGGGCCCCGCACCCCAGCAGAGCTGAGGTCCCGCGCCCCAGGCTTCGGGACGCTGGGCGCCACCCGCACGGGCGCAGGAACAACGGGAGAAAGGAAGGGGATTTCTCCCAAATGCCTGGGGCGACCGCCAGCCCCGGGCAGGGCGGCCGGGCAGGGCGGCCTTGGCGGGGCCCCCGCGGGACTCACAGGGCCCCGGGCACGGCGGGGCGGGGCCTCGGGGCGGTCGGCGGGAGGCATGCACAAATCAGGAGAGCAACATACACTTACGGCGTTGTCCCCCAAGATGTCCAGCTTCTTCATCAGCTCTGTGACCAGGATGTCCTGGAGGCACAGACACAGGGGACACAGGGCAGGTGAGGGGCGCAGGGGAGGCGGGCACCGGAGGGCGGGCGGGCGCGGGCGGGGCGCCGCGGGCGCGGTTACCGTCACGCCTTCGGCCTCGCAGTAGGCTTGCAGGGGGCTCTTGCCGTCCACGGAGGGCGTGTGGTGGAAGTTGATGGCGGGCGACTTCCGCTCCCTCTCCTAGGCAGAGAGCGAGGCTGGGCACAGCCCCCGCCCTCCCGTCCCCTCCTCCACGGCGCTGGGCTGGGGGCAGCCCAGGGAGCTCACGACGCCACAGAGGCCGCCACACGCGGTCGACCCGGCCGCTGTGTCGACGAGGTCCCGGCCGTGGCGCCAGCGGAGCCCTCGCGGGACTGGCCTGAGAGGACAGGCCCAGCGCAGACGCCCACGGGGGCGGGGCTCCCAGCTCGGACGGGCCTCCGGGCGGCGTCCTCGTCCACCCTGAGCCCCAGCGTCCCCCCCAGGCCTGTCCCCCTCGGGCTGAACCGAGCAAGCCCCGGGACAGGGGCCGATGCAGCCGCGTCCTCATCTAAGACCCGTGCAGGAGCCCTGGGGGCCGCGGGGACGGCCATACACAGGGGGCAGCAGCACAGCCTTCCTGCCACCGCAGGGGTGCATGGGGGGGCCCGGAGGGGCAACTCCATCTGGACTCAACCTGGTCCCTTGGCGGGCGAGTGAGGACCCAGGCCCCCACCCAGGCGTGCAGGGGCACCAGGAACCAAGCCAGAATGGGGGTTCAGAGAAACCCAGCAAAACCAGGCCACAGCGCCATGCAAGACGGGGTCACCCTGTCAGCCGGGGCCACGACCCCCTGGTCACCAGGCGTCCTGAAGGGGCCCAGGACCCACAGGGAGCGCCCTTCTGGCCAGGCCTGGCGGGTCACGTGTCGGCAAGGCCGCCTCAGCCTCCGCCACAGCAGCGCTGCCGCAACCGCCCTCGGCACCACGGCCCGGCCGCCGCCCCCGCCGCGCACCTCCAGCTCCAGGATCCGGAATTCCAGCAGCTCGTTCTGGTCCTTCGCATCCTGGACCTCGTGTTTTAGCCGAGCCTCTTGCGCCTCCATCTGTTTAATCTGTGAGATGAAAGATGGAAGAGACACTGGAAGTCACGTGAGGTCGACCTCAGGGCTCCATCCGTGGGGACAGAGGCTGGCCCCGCCCGCCCCGAGCCTGGCTGAGTCCTACCCCTTGGCTAATGTGGGGCCAGGGCTTCAGGGCCGGGTGCCCGGGGCCAGGAGAGAGGGGTCCGCCCAGCACAGAGGAGGTAAGACGTCCCCGTGACCCCTGCCTCGCCCTGGCCAGGGCAGCACTCTCAGGGCCCAGGCCGGCCCAGAGCCGGAGGGACGTTGTCCGGACGAGCCGTGCATGTGCCGGGGCTGCCTGGCCGAACCGACTGCGCTGATTAAGGGACTGTTTGCCTGTCAGGGTTCGTGAGCGAGCGGACCTGAGGGCAGCCACACCTTCCGATGGGCGTGCTCACAGCTCAGCCGCGGGCGGGTCCTCGGGGGCCTCGCGAGGGCAGAAAAACGCACCAGGAGGCGCCCACTGGGGCTGGTGGCGTGGCCCACGCCTCAGACTGAGCCCGAGGGGCTGAGGGGCTGTTCTGAGGATCAGGGACGTGTCTGACACACCCAGGGGCGTGTAACCGACTCCTGGCCAACGACCCACGGCCTCAGTGCCGTGAGCCCCTCCTCCGGCCAAGCCTAAGCTCAGGGTTACTCGAGCCGGCGCCAACCACAGAAACGCCCACCTGGCCAGGCACGGATCAGGAAGCTGCGAGAGGCCCAGGGCCCCACCAGGCCGACGCCCCCTTCCTGGCCGCCCCAAGGGGCAGGGGATGGACAACCACAGGAGAGGGCAGCCCAGGAGGCCCCGGGGGGACCCCGCGCCCCGCCCTCCGTGAGCACGGAGCAGTCACGCTTTTCCTGGCAGGCTCCCGGCCGGGCCGCGCACACCTTTTCGAAGAGCTCCTGGTTTCTCCGGTACAGGGCTTGCTTCTCCTCGATCCACTTCATGTCCTTGAGAAGGGAGTGGAAAGGGAGGCGTGAGCACCCCGCAGGCTGGAGCCGTAAACCCCACGTTTGAGTCACAACCTCAGGGAACAGAAGGTTCTACCAAAGGCCTCGACACTCAGCTTCCGAAGCCGCCGCCTCGTGACGCCGACGCCACCCAGCTAGCGGCAGCCCCTGTCCCTGGGCACCCTGGGCGGAGCGCGGGGGCCGCCCGGCTGGGTCAGACCCCGCATGCCCCCCAGGACGCGCGCACCTGCCCCTGCTCCGCCAGGGCGCTCTCCAGGTCCTCGATCCGCGCCTGCGCGCTCTGCACGTCAGCCTGGAGCTGCTCGCGGGTCTGTGGGCGGGAGGGAGACATCAAACTTTCCCTTAGAGCCAGGACGCGCCTGCACCGCGGAGATGCTGGGGAGAGTGCGACTGGGGAGAAGGGGCCGTTAGCGGCTTTGCAAGGATGCTCCGCGGGGAGGAAGGACCCCCAGGCCGACCGGAGGCCGGCGACCCCGCTGGACTGCGGGAGGACCTGCGATTCGCTCTGAGGGGCCGTAGGGGAGCCCTGCCCTCAAGTGAAGGAGCCCACAGGGTGCTTGGGCCTTCTGGGTGCCGGCGGGGGCTGGTTCCACCCGCTGTGACAGTGACGGCCCCGCCCAGCCCGACCGCGGGCGGCCGGAGCGGACAACGCGCTCTCCGGGGGTTCACCGCGCACTCCTGTGCCCAGCCTGGCTCCGGCCGGTGCCACCCAGGCCCGGCCCGGCCCCCCCAGCCGACGGCTTCCCCACCGCGGGCTCTAGGTCGCCTGGGGGTGTCACGGGGCCACACTAACTACAGCCGGGGGTCAAGCGGGGAGGGGCCCACCGGAGTGGAAGTCAGTTAGACCTTAACTTCTCGCTCGGCGTCCAGCGTCCCCCCGACCTGCTCCTGCAGCAGGGCGTACGCGCGCTGCAGCGCCTGGTACTCCATGGTCAGCTGCCGGAACCGCAGCTCCGCCACCTCCTTGGCCACGCCCTGCAGGGGCGCAGGGGCCTGTGTTAGCGCCGGCCTCCGCTGCGCCAGGGAGCTGCGCCTGGGCCCCGGCGGGGGGCGGGGCGGGGAAGGCGGCTCTGGCCGGCCAGGGAGGAGAGCAAGGCTGGCGCTGTCCAGCCAAGGGGCTGGACGCCACCCACCGGCCTCACACCCCAGGCCCCTCCCTGCGTCAGGACCCCCAGCGCCTCCTTCTGGCCGCAGTGACGCCTGCTGCCCTAAGAGGACCAGGTGGCCGCCGCTGCTTCTGAGGCCCCGCTGGACGCCCAAGCGTTCGCTGCTCAGAAACAAGCCAGAAGTCCGCGCGGGGTGGGGGGGCGCCGTGTGCAGGGCGAGCGGGCCCCGGAGCCCCACCCTGAGCCAGCTCCCCAGCCCGGCTCGTGCCCCGAGTCTTGCTAGCGACAGGCGTGCTGCCACGTCTGAGATCACAAAGCAGCTGTGTGGCCTCAGGGCGCCTGCCGGCCCTGCCAGAGGCGGCCCCACCAGGGCCTCCGTGGCCTGGCCCGGGCTGTGGACCACCAGCCACTCCTCGTGCCCCAGCCACGGGGCAGGGCCGTCAGCACAGGCTGCCCGGACTTGGGGGTGGTGTCCTCCCAGAACAAGGGCCTGGGGGTGGGACACGCTGGCTGCGTACCCGTCGGAGGCAAAGCCTCTGCTGCCCGCACGCAGCCCAGCGTGTGCCCGGGGCGGCAGTGACGACCCTGGGCCGAGGGCTCCGGCCTCCCGCACGCCCGGCCCCTTTGCCCCCCGCAGAGGGGGCTCTAGACGGGGTGACGGAGACGGGGCGTGTGCCGGGGGGAGGGGCGGCCGCCAGGGCAGCGGCAACGGGGAGTGATTCTCACGGTGCGGAGCCCTGGACGCCGGGGGCACGGCCCGTGAGGGCCACAGGCCACCCCCGCAGGGAGCCGCCCGGCCCTGGCCCTTCCCCCCATGACTGTCACCTCCTCCAGGTCGTCGTCCGGGGTGCACGGGGTCTGGTCCGTCCTGTCGGTTTGGTAGGATATGGAAGAGCCGTCGGACTCCAGGGAAGCCTCTTCATCGTACCCGAAGAAGGTCTCCACCACCACTGGCTTCGGGGGAGGGGAGGGTGTTGACCCAAGCCTGGCCGGGCTGCGCCCCCAGCCCCGGGGACCGCGGGCCACTCGCACCGGCCCCTCCGCCGCCCGCTGCGAGCCGCACCCCAGCTCACTCCAGGCCCCCCTCGGCCCCCCAACCTCAGGGCGAGGCGGTCCCCACGGGGTCCCTGGGGAAGCAGGCTGAGGGGGGCAGGGCGGGGGGGCGGGGCCGTGGGGCCGACTCTGCCAGCCCCCCGTTTGGCACGTGGCCGCGTGCCTAGCAATTCATTCTTGTTGTGTTTTCAAAGCATCGGCCTCGGCAGGTTAGAGAAACAGGAAACGCAAGAGCAGGGGCCGGCCCGCCCCCCGCCCGGCGAGGGCCCTGCCTGCCTGTGGGACGCCCCCGGCTCCTCTCTGGCGTCGGCGCCAGGGTCCCCCCCACCCCCGGCCCTGGGTGCCCCGGCTTGGGGCAGGCCCACCGGCCATTGAGGTGGAGCGCAAGGCGGCCCATTCACCCACCGATGCCCCTCCCCCAGCCCCCAGCCCCCACGGAGGGCCCCTGACCGGCCGGCTCGCCCTCCCCCCGTCTCACGCGCCAAGTGCCCTGATGGGGGCCCGGCCCGTCGCTGCGGGAGCCTGCCATCCGGCTCGCGGCCTCAGGTGACCCCGAAATGCCCTGAAACGACCCGGAGCCCCTTCTGCCTCCCGCGGGCCCTTCTAAGGCCCAGCCAAGCTCATATGACAAACCCTCTGGATCGCTCAAAGCCGCGCAACACACACACGCTTAGCATAAAGCAGGACGTGAGTCGGGTCCTTCGGAAACGCCTCCCACACCTCCTCCGAGAGAAATCCCAGGGTTATCACAAAGGGCTGAGTGGCAGAGAAGTCCCAGGTCTTCAAGGGACGGGGCCAGCGGGGCCAGCGGGCGGGGCTGCAGCCTGCAGGTGGCCGTTCTGGGGCCTGGGCCCTGGCAGGGCCCGGGGGGCCCCCGCTGCGCAGCCAGGAGGCCAGAGTCCTGAGGCTGACCCCTCCCCCTCCTTATGGCTGTCTTGAGTTCATATCTTCTCTAGGAAACTTCAAGAAATAAGGCCGCCCCAGGGGCGCGGCTCAGGGGGCGGGGCGGTCCGCGGGGGCGGGGCGGTCGGCGGGGGCGGGGCCGCGAGAGCCAGCTGATCCACATTTCTCTCCCTCTCGCTCTCCCTCCCTTCCCTTCTCTCTAAAAATAAATAAGTGAAATCTCTAAAACAGTATTTTAAAAGAAGGCTGCGTTCTGAAATGTGGAATAATGGACAGAAAGTTCGCTTTGGGCCCTGCTTTGGTTGGTTCAGTGTCAAGGTTTAGAAATAATGAAGTCGCCTCCTCTCCACTTGCAGAGGCGGCGGCTCGCCCCGCCCCCGGCCCCCATCCCGCCCCCCGCGGCCGCTGCAGCGCCCGCGGCCCCCGCCCCGGCTGCCCACCCACCTTGGGGAGCTTGGCCATCTTCTTCCGCTGTTTCCGCCACCTCAGCAGCTTGTCCCGTTCCTGCAAAAGCCAGTTGGAGAGACGTTTCTGAGTGATGAGCGGCTCCATCCGTTTCAAATACCCAGGTGAACGTCCCGGGTCACCACCCCAGTGGACGGCGACACCGCTGACCGCACAGGGGCCCCGCGGCCTGTGGGGCGTGGAGGGGCCGCCGGCCGGTCCCCACCCCCGGGAGGACCATTCGGGCGTCCCGGCTTCCGTCACGCTGTGGCCGGCCGGGGGGCAGGGGGTTCGACGGGCGTGCACGGAAATGGGCCTCGAGGGGACAGCAGGCCAGCGTCCCTGTGCCCTCTAAGCAGACGTCGGCTCAGACGCATGTGGACGTGGACCCGTGAACACGCAAGGGGACCCGTGACCTGCTTCTCTCCGGGGAGCCAGGCTGCCTTTCTGTGATGGTGACGGAACCAACCAGGCCCCGACCGCGGGTCCACGCCGGCCGGGACGCCCGTGGCGGGGGCAGGGCCCAGGAGGGGACCCCCCAGACCTCGGCTTGATTAAGCAGCTCAGTGTGAGCACAGCTGGGTGCCCCTTTGTTGCCCCAGGCCAACGGGGCACATGCGGTCCCCTGGCGAGCGGGTGTCCTCGGCCACCGTGGCAGGTGTCCCGGTGGCCTCAAAATGCACCCAGCTGCTGGCCCGGCCACGTGCGTCTGGCCTGGAAGGGCTGCGGGCGCCGGCGGGGTCGCGGGGACGAGGAGAGGCAGGGCCAAGGGGCACTTACGAGCACGCTCTTCACGTAGCCGGCCGTCTCCAGGGTCTGGGGGGGAGGACAGAGGTTCGGAGAATTGGAGCGCGGCCTGCCCCCGGGACCCCGGAGCCCCGCGCCCCGCCAGCCCCTGCCGGTGCCAGCCACGGAGCCCCGCGGCTCCGCTGCCCCAGGGAGGACGAGTCCGGCCTCCTCCTGCCACCTCCTGCCGGCGCCTCGGGGCCCTCGGCCAGCACCCGGGCTTTCCAGCGGGAGAGGGGGCATTTGGGGGCGTTCTCCTCTCCTGTCCTGCCCACGCCCCTGTAACTGTGGGACGCGACCGTCACCGCGTCCCTGAGCGAGGTGAGAGCCCGGGTTTCCGGTGCGGGCAGGGGGCCGCGCAGCGGAGGTCCCAGCCCACCGCGCGTGGGGCAGGGGCACCCCTCTGTCCCATCTCCTGTCCCTGGGGAGGTGACGGCGGCCACTGAGACCGCACTTCCAGCCACGTGCCATGCCAGCCCCAGACGGGGATGCCGCTGTCCCCACTGCTGCCCAGGGATGCAGGATGGCCGAGGCAGCGCGTTCTGAAACGGCCTGACGGTGCAGCGGGTCGGGGTCCCAACAGGCGGCAGAGCGGGCCCCGAATCAGGACCATGGGAGGGGGGTTTGAAGAGGGAGAATTTGTCAGGCGGGGGCGGGGCCAGGGCTGTCGGGCGGTACGGCCGGCCGGACGGGGCCCCAGAAAGAGGGGCCCACACCCTGGTCCCTGGAACCCGGGACTGTGGTCCTCTGCAGAAACAGAGGCTTTGCCAACGGGACCAAGTCAGGGATCTAGGGATGAGGACATTGTGGACTGGGGCGCGCGCATGTCCTTCTGAGGGGACAGACGCCAGGAGGAGGCCCCGGGAAGACAGGCCGCGACGGGGTGACGTGGCCAGAGCCACCAGAGGCCGCCTCCCCCACGCGCCAGGAGCAGCGCGGCCCCGCCAGCCAGCCCCTGGGTTTGGGCTTCCGGCCCCCAGGACGGAGAGGGAACGAGTCGCTGCGGCTTTCAGCCCCTGGTGGTGGCCAGAACCAGACACCGGCGGTGCTGTGGCTCCTGAAACCCCCGGTCCAGAGCGATGAGAAGAGGACACCGAGTCCCAGGCAGGGCCACCTCCCGCGAGGCCACGGGGCAGGGCCCCAGCGAGGGGCCAGGAAGGCAAACACCCCCGCCTCCCGGGGGCTCCTTGGGGGCGTGACCTCTGGGGGCAGAGGAGCGGGGACGGGGCGAGGACCCAGACCCCAGGGCTGACGCCCAGCGGCCGGCACGCGGTCACCTTGGACAGCTCGTCTATGAGGCTCTGCTGCTCCATGATTTGGAGCTTCAGGAAGTCGACCTCTCTTTCCTCTTGACTCTGATCCAGGTCGTTTAAGGAACTGGGTCTCCTTATGACCCCGGCTCTTTGTCTCTGAAAAACCAACCGGACAGGGTCACGGGGTGGGGCAGGGCGGGCCACGCGGCTGATGGGGAGCCAGGGTCTCTCCGCCAGGCGGCAGAGCCGGGGACGGGCCGAGGCTGCGCCCCGCCGCCGTTCCCCAAGGCAGAGTGCAGCAGGGCGGGGGTTCTGCAGGGCGGGGTGCCTGCCCCTCCGCACACGGCCCCCGCCCACTCGTGGTCGCGGTGGCCCTCAGGACCAGAAGGAAAACACAAGGCGCCAGCTAGTCACCCCCCACTGCGCCTAGAGGCGGTGGCTGGAGGGGCTCCCCGACCCCCAGGCCATGCCCTGCGCCGGCCTGCTGGCTCCTTTCTCCCCCGCGCCTGCGCCGCGGCTCCCACCCCTCGGCCGGGGAGCTCAGAGCTGGGTGGGGGCCTGGGCCGGGGGATGTGGCTGCTCAGTGTCTTCCCTGCTTCCTCTCTGTCACTCCCCAGGCAGGGGACACCCTGCCGGCTGCGGGCACCTCGTCAACCTGGCACGTGGGACACGCAGGAGGTTGTTATGGTAACGCCCGCTCAGCGCCCTCTGCTGGCCGAGGGACGCATCGCGGCCCCTTACCATCTCTATGTTCTCCTGGGTCACGAATTTTAACTTGTTTTCCAGGCGACGCAAAGTGTGGGACAGACCCTCATTCTTCCGAGTGAGACGTTTGTTCTTCTCCAGCAACGGCTTATACTGGCTCTCAGCTTCTCGGACACGCTTTAGCTGAAAGACAAGAGTCATCGTGAGCTCAGTGTTTGTGGTCATGACCGAGGACCCGCGGGTCCCCGTCGCGGAGTCGGCACGGCGAGCGGAGCAGGGGGGCCACCGCAGGGCGTGGCCTGCACGCCCCCCACACAACGCGAAGAACAAGGGTGCATCACCCAAGCACACGGGGCAGCGACCCTCCCACCAGCATCTGAGGCCCGATGCGGCCCTCAGCCGGGAGTGTTAAGAAAGTTTCCTCGGCACCAGCCAGGAGGCCTAGACACAAGCCCGGGACGGGCCGCCCGCACGCGGCTCCGCGAGGCGTTCCGGAAGCGGACGCCCAGCGCCCCGCCCCGCGGCCCTGGCCCGGACCGAGCGCCCGCCCGCCGCCGCCGGCCGCGCGCACCAGCTCGTTCCTCTCCTCCGACAGCAGGGCGTTCCGGTCCTCCAGCTTCCGGATGATGGCGCTGAGCTCGGCGATTTTCAGCTGGAAGCGCCGAGCGTCCTTCTCATCCAACTGCTGTTCCTGCAACAGAGACCAACTGCAAAAGAACTGTTCGTAGACCGCCGCGCAGAAACCTTTTCCGACGCCGACCCTCCGCGCACCCAGGGAGCACGCCCGCGTCACGGGGCCCGGGCCTGCGGGGCGGGGGGCCTCCTCGGGGCTGCGCGGCGCGGCTCAGCGCACTGCGGGATGGCACAGGACGCACGAGCGGGCATGACCAGCGAGCGCGATGGGGGGGCGGGGGCATGCACATGCAGGCTCCCTGAGCGCGTGAGCCCGGCGCGGCCGAACCAGCCCCATGCGGTCCTCCGCCGGCGCGGCTGCATTTCCGGGAGGGCCTGCCCTGCCCGCGGGCCGGGCGCCGCTTCCCTGGTATTAGAATGTGAGCACAGAGAACGACGTTTGACCTGAGACTCTCAAAAGCTGGCGTCCCGGGATTATGCTTCTGAAAGGTCACCGTGGGACCCCTGAGCCTTCAGGCAACAACCACTGAAAACACAGGATCCAGTTTGAGAGTCTCTGGGCTTTGCACAAAATCTAGCGGGTGAGGTGCCAGGGCAGGCGCTGATCCAGCTCAGCCACGCAGAAGAGGGCTATCGAATGGCACTTTCTATCCTGGAAGCATCCCTGTCCTTGGGCTGGCTCGGCTCACACATGCGCGTCCAGGAGGACGGAGGGATGATTCCTCATTCAGCAGGTGCAGGAGAGGCTAGGGGCCGACCCGGATGGACCGCATGGGGCGTCTGTGGAATTTAGACCCCCCCCCCCGACTTCCCCGGCCCCGAATGAGGAGCAGCGATGAGGAGGTGGGGGGTCTCGCGGCCAGGCAGCCGCTGGCCCTGTGCCGTGCGGGGGGCCGGGAGTGGCAGGAGAGTGTCATGGTCACATGGAAAGCAGGTGGGAGGGTGATGGGCGATGTGAGGGGAGGGACTCCTGGCAGGGGGTCAAGTGGGGGGCGCAGGGAGCCGGCCTCGCTGGCGGGAGGCAGGGCCTGAGAGTGGCGAGGGAAGGCGCTCGGCCGCCCGCTGCCAGCTCGGCGCAGGAGCAGCCCCAGCCGGCACCGGGGGCCCCGCGGCTCAGGTGAGGCCTCGCGGAGGCCGGGCTGTGCGCTGCGTTGGCAGGGAAAGGCGGACGACGTCTGTCTGTCCTCCTGGCTGAGCCGAGGGGCCCGGGGCCCGGCAGGCAACTGCGGACGTGGGCGTGGGCGCCGCCCCAGGAGGGCGGGGGCTCCGGCTCCCCGGGGGGCTGCCTGGCGGGCCAGTGGGGGTCGGGGGTGCTTACGGGGCTTCCCGAGCGGTCTGAGGCGTCTCCTGCACCGCTTGCATAAGGAAGCTCCCGTCTGGGGCTGCCCAGGCGCCGGTCGGCCTCTTTGGCCTGGGAGAGCTGCCCGTCTAGAGCCTCCTTTTGGAGCTGCAGCCTCTGAGCATGCCCGGCTTGAACCCCTAACTCTCTCTCCAGCACGAAGACTGCTCTGTCCTTAAATTTTATCTCCTCCATCTACAAGGAGAACAGAACACAATCACAGGCAGGCAGGGTGCAGACCTGTTACCATGGCAACGGGCAGACTGCACGAGCATCGGGAGGGGTCCCCCGCCCCCGCCCTCCCCACGCGCCCTAAATGGCAGCCATCCTGTGCGCCACCTCCTGACAGCTGCCAGCAGCCACCTGCCTCCCAGCCCCTCCGCGGGGGCCACAGGTGTGCCCTGGCCAAAAGCGGGCTGCTCCCAGGCTGGGGTGGGGGAGGAAGCAGGCAGAGCCAACCGCGCCGCCGCCCACGCTTCAGACAGGCAGAGCCGGCCCGTGGGCATCACTGTGCGTGGCGCTGGGTATGCGAGAACACGCGGTTTAAAGCGTATTTTCAAACCACGGAGCAGGATAGGATGTCTCGCTGCCCTGCTGCGGTTTAAGGTTACAGTTGGCTAATAAGTCAGCCATCGGTGGAAGTCAGCATGGGAACAAGGGTGCAGCGTCTGAGTAGCCCAGGCCAGAGGGTACGGGCAAGCGGCGGACTGGAGAGAACCCCCGAAACCCTTCACTGCTAAATTCCCATGTCCTGGAGCTCACAGAGACGCCGGGGCACCACAGGCCATGAGGGAAAACACAGGCCGGTGGGACTAAAGTCACGCTAACACACAGCCGTATGCGGTGGCCTGGCCTTGCCGCTCTCACACAGACACGTTAGGAACATCATTTGCTTTCATCAGGAAAACGAAATCAGTCCCTGTGCACACGTCCCACTTAAATCAGCTATTTAAGAGGAAGGCGAGGACCAGAAGCCGACCCCCCGAGGGTCGCGGCCACGTGCCGCCGGCCGGGGCTCCTGGTGACCCGCAGAGGAGAGGGCAGGGCGTGGCTTTGTAATGATGGGACGCTCACTCTAGGGCCAGTGACAGTGTGTCCCAGAGGGTCCACCTAAGCCCCGGGTCTCACACGCAGCGTTGCCACCGAGAGTTCTCAGCCAACGGCATGTCCCCTCACCTTCTCCTCCCGTGACAGTCACCGGCCACTTACCCACGTTCGGAAAAATGCGTTGTTAGCTATGTGTCACTGTGTGAACACATCAGGGGCATCGATACAAACCCAGGAGGCCTGGCCCGCCGCGCGCCCGGGCTACGTGGTTCGTAAGGTCTGTTGCTCGCGGCCTGCGAGCCTGCACAGCCTGTCGCTGCACTCAATACGGAGGCAGCTGTAAGGCGGCGGTAAGAGTCTGTGTGTCTGAGCGTGTCTCAACATAGAAAAGGCACAGGAAAGCTACGGATTGAAAGATAAAAACGGTGCACATGCGCAGGGCACTCGGCGGGGACAGAGCCCGCGGGCAGGTCGCCGCCCGGGGTGAGGGGCGAGGGGGCAGCGGCGTGAGGCCAGGACGTGCCTGGACGCGACAAGACTTTCGGACCCGGCGCAGCGAGGTGTCGCTCCGCTCACGGAAAACACTTCTTTCTCTAGTAAAAAATGAACCTTGGCTTATTGTAACGTTTTTACTTAATAATATTTTTAGTTTCAACACTTCAATTCTTTTGGAATACTACTTAGCTTAAAACACGCGGTACAAAAATATTCTTAATGTCATTTCTCTATTTTTAAAGAAGGGTTGTAACTTTTAATTTTTTTGGTTAAAAACTAAGACACAAATGCAGCCACAGGCGTAGCCCCCCCACCCCCGCTGCCCCCGGGAAGGTCCGCGGGCTCCTGGGAGAGCAGGGTGGGCTTCGCAGCCCCTTCCAGGGCCGCCTGCGACGCTTTGGGACCTGAGGCGGCGTCACTCTCTGCCAACCGGCCCGTGGCAGGGGTTCCTTTTTTCATCCAGATCTGCCCAAAAGCAGACTGCGCACGCGGACGTCCTCTGCACCCACAGAAACCTTTCGGCCCGGGCGTCCGGGGTGCGAGCTTCTGAAGGAGCCGCTGAGCTCGGCCCAAGCGTCCGCTAAAGCCCCCGGCTGCGGGTTTTCCCAGGGGTTCTCCTCCTCGTGCTGTGCCTCTTCCCCTTGCCTCCCCCTCCGCTCCGCATCCCTGTCCCTGTGCCGCCTGTGCTAGTCTGCCCCTCAGCCCCGGCGGCTCCTCCGCGTCCCCGTGGGCCGCAGCGTGGCCTTGTTGATCTTTGCGGCTGCCTCGCCTCGGCAAATCCCCTGGAGTCCTGACAAGCCTCTTAAATGTCTCCTTCCAGATGCCACCTGTAGGCTCCTCGGGGACGTCACCTCAAGCTCAGTCCCAGCTCCAGACGCAGCTGCTGCGATCCTCCCAAAGCTGCCTCAGCATCGCAGCGCCTCCCTGGGCGGCAGCGGCGGCCTGAGCGACGTCTGACTCGGGGAGCAGCCCCTGGCTGGATGCGAGGGGCGGGCGGTGTCCGGCGGGAGAGACGCCGCAATGTTGGACGAAGGTCACCCATCAAAGGACGGTGTCCAGGAGCGTTTTCAACAGTAACCGAGTCTGGAAAGGCCTGTTGTTCTCCAAGCGGCACCTCTGCTGGCCCAGCAGCTCGGGGCGGCCTCCTGGGGGCGGAGCTGGCTCCCCCAGGATGCACTCTCCTCCTGCCGGGCGCTGGCCTGCGAGCCTCTCACCCGCTGCCCGCGCACGAAGGGCTTCAGCGGGTGGCTGGTGACACTGCCCCCAGGCAAGACTGCTGCCCGGCCCTTCCAGGCCTGGAAGCCCGGCGTCGGTGTGGCCCCTGGGGATGGGCGTCCCTCGACCCCGCCACCGGGAGGTCTCAGCCGCACCGCGTGTTCGCTCCGGGAAGTCATTTCCCTCCCCCACGGCCAGTGCGTCCAGAGCTCCCGCCTCCTCGGCTGCCTGCAGAGCAGCACTCACGCCCCGCCCCTCGTGTTCCCGCTGCCGAAGGCACAGCGATCCTCGGGTTGTTCCACCCGCCCAGACGGGGCAGTAACCTCAGCTCCGCAGTGGGGCCCAGCCCTTCCTCTCCAGGTTGCAAACAAGCACTTTGCTTTGGCCGCAGCGGCCGCGTGCCGGGCGGGACGCGTCTCCGCGCCGGGTCTCCGCCCAGGCCCTGGGAAGGTGGCCTTGGCTGACGTGGGCCACCTTGAATTGTTGTTCGTCCGGTGGCCTAGGGAAGCTCCCTCACTTTGTTCTTGTTGTTTGTGGCTGTCGCTGCGGTGGGAGGGACGCACCAGACTGCAGAACGAGACGTCGCCGAGCCCCGGCGGGTGTGGCTCAGTGGACTGTGCGCCGGCCTGGGAGCCGAGGGGTCGCCGGTGCGGTCCCCAGTCAGGGCACGTGCCTGGGTTGCAGGCTGGGTTCCCAGCTCGGGGCCTGGGACAGACAGCCGATCAGTGTTTCTCTGGCACATCGACGTTTCCCTCCCTCTCTCCCCTCTAAAAATAAGTAAGTAAATAAATAAATAAAGCCTAAAAAACCCGAAACCTGTCGTTGATTGTCCACCTTCATGTTCTCAGTCCCTTTCCTTTCCTTTCCAGGACCCCTACTCCCTGCTCCTCAGCCCCTCCCCCACGGCCACGACCTCCCCCGCCCAGGCACAGGGTGTTCGGACACAGGAAGGAGGCCCTTGGGAGGAGGGGTCCCAGGCCGGGGGGGACCCCTGACAGAGGGCAGAGGCGCCCCCCACACCCGGACTCAGCCCTAGCACCATGCGCCCAGCTTGGGGGCACAGATCCAGACCCCTGACACCCCCTCCCCCGACAACAGGACATGGGCACCGTGGGCGCTGCGAGCGGGGGCGGGGCTTCCCCGCGGCCCTCCCTCACCTTGCACAGGGCAGGTGAGCACACATCTGCTCCAGCAGATAAATGAGAAGGGGGCTGGCGGCTGGAGTTGGCTGTCCGTGATCTTGGGGAACACGGAAGAATTGCCCGGGCGCCACGGGCCCCGCCCCACCGCACGTGAAAACGCTGCTTCGGCGCACAGACTGCCGCCCAGGCTCGGCCAGTCTCACCCGAGTGCGGGGCGGGGGCGGGGGGGCACCGCGCGCTGCCCGCCCACCCCTGCGGCCGGGCTCTGGTCCCCGGGGAAGCAACAGCAGCCGGCCACACCCCACCTGCCAGCAGCAACCTGTTTCTGGGGTTTAATTACTGCTGCTGGCTCGCATTCCACTTTAAGTAGTTGTCACCTAGGCAACCGGCTGAGGAGGGGGTATATTATACATCACAGATTTTTATAAGAAAGCGGAAATTGGTTTTGCCTGCACTTTCTGGATTTTATAGAACTTTGACGCAGCCTGAGCTCTGTTGTCACAAATGCACGGCGTGCGCAGTAGCTGCACACAGGTCAGCTGCGCTCTGGGGCTCGGTACCCGCGCGGTGCGGCGGGCCCACCTGGCCCCCCGCCCGAGGGACACACCCTCCGTGCCCATCCGGCCCTGTCCTCAGAGCCACCGGCCGCTGGGAGCGGATGGGAGAGGCATCTGGCTGGGCTCATGGGGCATCTGAACCAGGGAGGCGGCAGGACAGACCCACTGCCCCCTTCCACGTTGGGTGGAAACTTGGCCGGGTGAGGACGTAAAGCACAGCACAGGGAGAGAGCCCACAGTGCGGCCGTAACTGTGCACAGCGCCCGGTGGGTGCTGGCGTTATATCCGGGGGGTCCTTTCGTTAAGTGTATGGCTGTCTAACTGCCACGATGTACACCTGAAACTAGGATAAAATGACACCGAATGTCAACTGCAACTGAAAAAACACTTGGCCAGGAGCAGCCCTGGGGACCGGGCTGCTCCAGCGTTGATTCCGGGGAAGGCGGGGAAAGAGCATCGAGATGATGGGCGGGGAGGGTCCCCAGACCAGCTGCGGGGACAGGCGTGGAGGACAAGGGAAGAAGGGAGCGGCAGCTCTGCCTCCCTCTGGGGCGGCGCGAGGGCGCTCTGGCCGCGGGGCGTGCTCCGTCTGCGGTGCACACTCTGCTGAGACAGACGCCGACCCGGCGGGGGCTGCCGGCAGCGCAGGCGTTCCGCCCACGGATGGACGGACGGGTGGACGGACGGGTGGACGGACGCCGCCTCTTCAGCCGCCGCAGACGGCCGTGGCAACACAGCAAGTCTCTTCAGACCCAACCCTCACCGGGACTGGCGGCAACATGGCGCTTGTCCCTCATTCACGAACGAGTCCAGTGGAATTTTTGACTTGTGTTCATTGTATATTCGTGTAAGAATGATGGTTGTACCCTCATTAAAATGCACCTTCTAATAGTTTAGTTGTAATGCCGATAAAAAGTCCACCGCTTTCCTGCGTAGGAGGAAAGAGTCTGAGGTTGTCCGAAGCCTCACGGGGGAGGAGAGTCCAGTTCCCCTTGAAGAGCCGCGTGGGCGGACACACCTCCAGGAATCAAGGCCTGTGAGCGCGCGAACAGGCCACATACAGGGGCTCAAAGCGGGGCCACGATGGGGCGCGCCCGAAGCCCGCGCACGTGAGAGCACCAGCGTGTGCAGGGGTGGCCTGTGGGCTGGGCGGGGGGGGGGGCGGCCTGTAGCGGGGGCGGGGCTGCCAGGACAACCGTGCCCCTGCGGCCACTGCAGCTGCACCGCGCCGGACCCCACACGCGCGCGCACACGCAGCCCGGCGCGGCAAACGCTGGGCGGGAAAGGCGACGCGAAGCAGTTTTAAAGAGGTAACACTTTGCGGCTCCGGGACAAAAGAACTCCCCAAACAAGCCACAGAAAGCACCACGCCTACAGAAGAAGACCAACAAATCAGACCAGTTCAGAACGCAAGGTCTCCCCTCGCAGGCCAGAAGGGGCTGGCAAGAAGCACTCAAAGTCAGGAAAGGCAAGGACCTCCGTCCACGATGACTCTACCCGGCAAAGCCATCATTTAGGAGGGAAAGGCAGGTAAAGTGCTTCCCAGACAAGGTCAAGCTAAGGGAGTTCCTCATTGCCAAGCCCTTATTATGTGCACGGTTAAAGGGACTTATCTAAGAAAAAGGAGGAGTTCAAAAACCATGAACAGTAAAATGACAATGAAGTCACAACTACCAACAACTGAACCTGAACACAGAAACCAAGCAAACAACTCCAACAGGAACAGAAACATAGAAATGGCAATGGGGCGGGATGGGGGACAAGGTACAGGCAATAGCAGCATAAATAGTAGGCACAGCACAGGCAGGGGGAGGGCAAGAACAGCACAGGAAGTGGAGCGACCAAGGGACTCGTATGTGCGACCACGGACGAGAACTAAGGGGGGGACGGATGGGGGGCGGGGGGCGGCGAGGAGGGGAATACAGGGGAGAAAAAATGGAACAACTGTAATAGCACAATCAATAAAACGTATATTTAAAAAAAAGAATGTAAGCTTTCAGATCACAAAACAACACTGCTAAGAACGCAGACAGGCAGGCAGCCGGCGGGGAAGGGGCTGTTCGGAGCGAGCGTCCCCACGCCCGCGGGCCCTGCATCGACCCGGGGGCAGCGCCGCCGACTGGCCGGGCTCCCTCGGGCAGGGAACGGGGGCTTGGTCATCTGGTCAGGCCGCCGTTCGCTGCTCTCAGGCATGTTTTGTAGTTTCCAGGGTTCAGGTCTTGCAGAGCTTTTGTTACACTTATTCCTAAGTATTTTATTCTTTTTTATGCCATTAGGAGTGGTTTTAAAAAAATATTTAATGTGAATAATTTGCTGCTGCTGTATAAAAATACAATTGACTTCTGCATATTGATCTTGTGTCCTGAAACCTTGCTGAACTCATTGAGAAGTTCTTTTTAGGGAATTCCTTAGGGTTTTCTATCTGCAAAAAAAGATAGTTTTAATTATCCCTTTCCAAGCTGGGGTCTTTAATTTCTTTCCTTTGCCTTAGCGCCCTGACTCAAATTCCTCAGTGGGAAAAGACAAAAAAGATAAAAGGGGAAAAGTCCCCAACAAAAAGGCAGAATTTCTCCTCGTTTCCGTAAAGTCCTGCCCCACCGGCCCCGCTCACGCGGGTGTGCCCGGGGCCGGCGCGGGGGGCAGCCCTGGGACGGGACGGGCAGCCAGAGCGGAGAGCGCGGCGGCTCTGGGGTGCACGGATGTGGCGGGACCGGCAGAGAACTTTTTCAAAAGCCAATTGTGATTATTATCCTCAGAGACATGAGACGCAGTTACGTCTACGAGTAAGAGAGGAATGACCAAAAAACTACTTTAGAAAACAAATAATTTTGAGAATTAAATGTATGAAGGTAGAAACAAACAAACAAAAGACAGCCCTGGCCGCTGTGGCTCAGCGACTGAGCGCCGGCCTGCGAACCAAAGGGTCGCCGGTTCAAGCCCCAGGCAGGGCACAGGCCCGTGTTGCGGGCCAGGTCCCCAGCAGGGCGCAAATGAGAAGCAACCACACGTGGATGTTTCTCTCCCTCTCTTTCTCCCTCCCTTCCTCTCTCCCTAAAAATAAATAAATAAAATCTTTTAAAAAAACAACAAAAAACAAACAGAAACGTTAGAAGAGACAGTCGAGCACATTTCCCAGAGAGAAGACCACAAACCAAGGTTGGCAGAAAATGCGGAAATCTGCGCCCCACTTCAGTGGGGGTCCAGGGGGAAGGGTTGGAAGGAAATGACTAAAGAAACAGTAGGAGAGAGTCCCCCAGCGCCGTCTGGGGGCCCATGCACACTCGTGGCAGAGTCATGTTTGCCTCGGTTTCCCCTGTGGGCCCTGCGCCTGGAGGGCCCTCCTGGGAAGTTCAAGGTGAAAGCCGAGTCTGGGGCGTGTCTGGAAACCAGAGCCCAGGGCGGCGGGGCAGGCGCCCCGGGCGCGGGGCCGTGCTGTGCCCCACCGAGGGGCATCCGGGCCCCAGGTGTCACCCGCCGGTCCTGATGACACACACAGGGGACGCGGGGCAGGCCTCGAACGCCGGCCTCCACCCCCCAAATCGCTGCGGGGGAGTCCCGGCTCCAAGGGCAGAGGAGAACTGGGCACAACTGCCCCGGCTCCCGAACACCTCCCACCGCCCGGCCCTGGGGCTCCGAGAGCCCGGAGTCCGCGTGACCTGCCGGGGGTGCCGTCCCCCACCCCGGGGTGCACAGGCGCCCACGCGCCCCGCGAGGCGGCAGCGCGCGCGGGCCAGCCTCAGAGCGTTCCCAGGGCACAGGGACGGCAGGACGGTCCGGGGGCCGTTGCCATGGCCGCGTGCTGCGTGGCCTCACTTCCGGTCCAACAAACTGGACAGACTCAGCAGAGCCCGCCCGTGAGGGAAGAAGCGACTCGTGCCACCAAGACACCAGCCCTGCTGGGCGTGCGGCCTGACCCGGGCCCCTCAGAAGGGGCGGCTTCCGGACCCCTGTGGGGATGGGGGGGCGGGCGGGGCGCTAACCCGCAGGCGTCCAGTCCTGGCCCCAACTAGACCCAGGAAGTAAAGCCGGTGAACGGGAGGGGGGCAGAGGGAGGGGCCGCCGGACAGCCGTCCCTTCGGGCGGCGCCCTCCTGCCCTGGCGCCCCGGGACCCCGGCGGTGCTGGGGGGCCCGTGCGGAGGAGCGGCCCGGCCCGCGCCCGCGCCGCCCGCGGCCCACGTACCAGCCTGCGGATCTCCCGCTCGCACTCCTTCTTGATGCGGGCGATCTCCTCCTGGTGCAGGTGGTAGACGCTGCGGATCTCGGCGGCCTTGATCTTGTCGGCCTGCATGACCACGGTCAGCGCCTCCTCCGCCTGCCGCTTGGCACCCTTGAGCTCTGAGATCTCCTGCTGCATCTTCACCTTCTCCACCTCGAACCCCTTCCGGGCCTCCTCCTTGGCCTCGGACAGCAGCGCGGCCTTGGCTCGGTCGGGGCCGCCGTCGTGCACGGCGTGCAGCAGCGCCTGCAGCCGCTGGTTCTCGTTGTCCTTGATCTTGATGACGCGCAGCAGCTCGGCCTCGTGCTGCCGCAGCAGCGCCTCGCGCACGGCCTGCAGCTCCTTCATCTTCTCCTCGTGCAGCTTGCTCTTCAGCTCCGTCAGCAGCACCGCGCTCTTGTGCTGCTCGTGCTCCCGCAGCTGCCGCAGCTCCTGGTTCTTCTCCCGCTCCACCCGGCTGACCTGCAGGGCGAGGCCGAGGCGGTCGCCGCGTTTCGCCTGCGCGCGGGGCGCCGCCGCCGTTCAGGAGCGGCTCCTCCAGCTGCCATTGAGCGCCCCCCCCCCCCCCCGGCGCGGCTCCGGGGACGGAGCACCAGCCTGCGAGCCACAGGGTCGCTGGTTCGACGCCCACTCAGGGCACAGGCCTGGGTCGCGGGCCAGGCCCCCAGGAGGGGGCGCGCAAGAGGCAGCCACGCAGGGATGTCTCTCTCTCTCTCTCTTTCTCCCTCTCCCTTCCCCTCTCTAAAAGTAAATAAATACAATCTTTAAAAAATGCATTGGAAACGGGACGAGCCTCGTGGTGGGAGCGTGTCTGCGCCCACGGGCGTCCCAGGGGAACATGGGCGGAAGGTCAGATCCAGGCGCTGGGCCCATGGAACCCGCTCTGCTGCTCTGCAGGGACAGGCCGGCCAAGCAGGCGCCGTGCAGAGAGGCCTGTGCAGGGCGGGCAGGACCATGGGGAGCAGTGGGGCTCCTGCCTTCGCCCAAATACACGGGCGCCGCACTCACCTGCCGGGACATCACTGGCAAGCGGGGACACCGCCCAGCAGCCGCGCCATCTGTCGAGGTGACGCCTGATACTGAGGCTTTTGGAATCACTCAGGGTTTTCCCTGACTGCTTTATTTTTACCTAGAAGCGGTGACCTTGGCCAAATGACCCCTGCACCCCCATCGGGCACCAAGTCAGGGCTCAGAGTCCACATGGAGCAAAGGATGGATGGGACCCAGTCTGCCTGGGCCGCCGGGAACGGTGGGGGGAGAGCCCGCCACCCCCGCCGCAGGCCCCGCCGCCTCCCTCCAGGCACGTGGGGGCCCTGCCCCCTGGCGGGACCCAGGAGGCAGCTGCCTGGCAGACGCCTGACACGTAACTGTCCAAAGGGACAGCCCTCCCCCGCAGCCCCACCCCCCAGCCCTGTCCCCCTGGCGGCCCCCACCCATGGGCCCACAAGCCCTTCCCAGAATCTGCTTGGTTATGGGGACGGGGGAGGGGGCAGCGTGGGCCCGCAGGACGGTGCTGGGCAGGCGTGCCCCTCTGACAGGCCCACCCGCCACCCCCCAGGGCCCCGGGGCCCCGTGGGCATGAGCCCCGCCTTCCCTACAGGCTGCAAGGCCCGCACGGGCTGGCTGCCCAGCTCGGCCACAGGCTGCTCCCACGCCGGGCCCACGGCACGCGGCGCCTTCAGTCGACCGAGGGTCGCGCTGGCCTGGCCGACTTGCGTTCCAGGCCAATCTGAACACACGGGGAAGGGTGTCTCTCCGGAGATGCTTCCCCTGAGGAGGCCGGGGGCTGTCCCCACGGCCCCCGTGGGCGGGAGCCAGGACCGACTGGGCGGTCACTTCTGCAGAGACCTGGTCCCCGCCCCCCGCCCCCTGGCTCTGGGCTGTCGGGCGGGAAGCTGAGATGGGGCGCGGGAGGGGGGACAGGGGGTGCCCACCTTGCTCTTCTCCTGCTGCAGCTCAATCTGGATGTCGGTGAGCTTGGCCCGCAGTTCCTCGTTGGCGGCCTGCAGTGCGGCGAGGGCCTCGGCCCGGTCCCCCTTGCCCCGGCTGCCCGCGCCCTTCTTGGACATGGTGAGGGTGGCCAAACGGCGCCGGGGGAGGCCGCCCGTCTGGGCCGGGCTGTGCGCGCCGAGCCGGGGCAGCTGTCGCTGGCTGCCGCTGTGCTACATTTTCTCACTCACCTGCAGGGAGAGGGCACCAAGTGAGCAGCCAGCCTGGGGCCTGATTCTGGGGCCAGCGGGGACAGAGGGGGCCGGGCGGCTGCCCGCCTGCCCCGGGGACACCGGCCTGACTGCGGGCTGGTCCCCGAGGGCAGCGGCCAGCGGCCCTCCCTCCGCGCCCCTGACAGGGACCCGCACGCGAGAGCACTTTCTCTCTGCCCCTTTGGAATGAGAGGCTGGGACCGCAATGTAAGGCGCAAATTTCCTTCATGGTCCTGTGGGCGCCTGGTGGCAATGGGGCCACCCAGGGAAACCTCTGGGCACTGGCGTTTTGCAGACCTGCCCGGGGTGGGGGGGAGGGGGCGGGGGTCTCTGGCAGGCGGCAGCGCGCGGCTCGGTCAGAGGCGGCGGGGAGACTTGCGCCCCTGCAAGAGCGATGCTTGTAAAGCACAGAGCGGGGACCCCAGGGTGGAAGGAAAGGGGCCGGAGGGCGCCGTCCGACGGGACAAGGGGGCTCCGGCTGCAGCCCCCGGGAGGGGGGCTGGCCGGTCAGAGCAGAGAGGGGGCCGCTGAGCCCCATCCGGGGCTTTTACGCCTGCGACGGCTCTTCAGGAAACCAGGGACCTTGCTCAGGTTCGCCCCCAAGGACGCCCGACGGAGGGTGCGCCTTCTCCCGCGGGGGTCTGAGACCGACGCCCGCCGGCTGGTGTGGGGCCGCGCGCCTGCCTTGGGCTCCGGGCGCTCGCCAGCCGCGCATTCTGACGCAAGGTGTTAGCGCTCGGCCCAGAAAGGCCAGCGGCTTCCCCGGGCGGCCGGCCACGTGGGCGTGACGTGGGTGCAAAAGGACTTGTAGCCAGAGGAAGCAGATGTGTCCTAAAACTCTCAAAATTCAATATTAAAATGGCACACAACCCAGTTTTTAAAAATGAGCAAGAGATTTGAAGGACCTGTCACTAAAGCACGTGTACAGATAGCAAATAAGCCCATGAAGGACGCCGACGTCACTAGTGCTCAGGGAAATGCAGACTGAAACCACGAGGGGACGCCACAGCGCCCCGACCGGGATGGCTGAGGTGAGAGCCGGCCACGCCCAGCGCCGATGGGTGCGCCCGCAGCAGAGCTGGGCCGCCCACCTGCTGCTGCGGACGGGAACCGGTTCCACTGTCTTGGGAAACACTTGGTGAGTTTCTTGAAAAGTCAGACTCCCACCGTATGACCCAGGCTAGGGGTCGTGCCACGGAAATGGGTTATTTGTTTTTGGGTTAATAAAAATGAAAAATAAGTTGGTAAAAACAACTCTATTGTCAAACAGAGAATCACGCAACCAAGGAACTAGAAACACGTGTCGTGGGAAGACTCGTCCCGAAGCGTCCACAGCGGCTTCGTTTGTGACGGCAAAACACCGGAAACCACCCCAAACTGCACCCACCAGCAGACGGGTAAACCCCACAGGCCAAACAAACAGGGACTCTTGACACCCTAGACTCACAACGAAAGCCCCCTGTGTGACTGCGTTTACAGGCAGTTCTAGGAAGTGCGAACGAACCTACAGCCACGGACGCGGGGCAACGGGCGCCTGGGGCTCGGCGGGGCTGGCGGGGGGCAGCGGCAGGGAGGACCCCGAAGAGGAGGGAAGGAAGGAAGCGAGAGGCGTGGCGCTGTGTCCTCTGTCGCGAGCGTAGGGATGGCTTTGCGGGTGCACACGCATGTCAAACCTCATCGTGTTTTCCATTAAAAAGAGAAGTTTCGAAGTCATGCATAACTTGGTAAATTGGTCAGCTGGTATGGTTCTTCGGGGAGCAGTATGATAATAGATATTTAAAACCTTCAAAGTGTTCCTGACTTTAAACCTACGGATTTCATACCTAGAATTCTCTCCCAAAGAGGTTATTCTAGATACAGAGAAAACTTTACGCTCAGAGACGTTCAATGTAGTATTACTTATAATACCGAAAACTTGGAAAAAATCTAATACTTGTGAATTAAGTTTCTACACAGTGAAACATCATGCAACTTTAATGTGATGCTTAAAAAGAAGTTTTGGCCTGGCTGGTGTGGCTCAGTGGACTGAGCGCTGACCTGCGAACCAAAGGGTCGCAGGTTCGATTCCCAGGCAGGACACAGGCCTGGGCGGCGGCCAGGCCCCCAGCAGGGGGCGCGTGAGAGGCAACCACACATGGATGTTTCTCTCCCTCTCTTTCCTCCTTACTTCCCTTCTCTCTAAAAACAAATAAAATCCTTTTTTTATAAAGGAAAATGAGTACTTTACAAGAAGGGAAAAGGCAGAAAACAAACCGTTCTAGACAGAATGATCATAACAATGTAAAAAAGAAGAAAAGAAAGATATTTCAAATTTTTAATAGTTCATCTTGTGGGGATTGAAAGAACGTGATTGTGTTTATCTCTTTTTGCTTTTCTAGATTTTTTTGTTTTCATAATGAGAACATACTTGTTTTATGAAAACAGTATTTCAAAGAGAAAACACTTCTAACCAACTTTCAGGACCCCAAAGACCCCCCCCCCCCAGCGCCCTCCAGCACCCGAAAGCTCCGTGAGCGCCCGGCGCCCGGGGCCCGCAGACGGAGGATCGGGCCGGGGTGTCGGCGGGCGCTGGGGCGCGGGCGCCCGCGTTCGGAGCCTCGGCCGGGCAGGGAGGGAAGAGGCCGCCTCGTCCTCCTCCTCCGGCTCTGCCCCAGGCAGCGATGCCGACACCCAGCAGGGCGCCCTGGGGCCACCGCGGCGGGCGGCTCCGCACGGGGCGCGGGCGCTTTCTGAGCCCCAAAGAGGAAGCTCTTCTTACATGAAACAAACGCCCGAAAAACGTGAGAAGGAAGGTGGTAGGGCCGGGCCAGCAGTGGGGCTTCCCCCTCCTCTGCGCGTCCGGGGAAACGGCGATGGGCAGACGACGGACAGGTGGATGATGGACAGACGCACGGACAGGCGGGCGGTCGGACAGGCGGATGACAGGCGGAGGGACGCACGGGCGGGAGGCGGGAGGCAGGGAGGGAACGCAAGGCCTTGTGCGCCAGCCGGCGGCAGTCGGGGGCCAGGCTGGGCGCCCGCCTTTCCCCCGCGACGCGCGCTCCTTCCCACCCTCGCGACCCCGAGGGCTTCCTTCGCTGGTCTCGCTCCGCGGGCAGCAGCGAGGTCGCCTCCTTCCCCCACGCCGCCCGCGGTGTCCGCCCCACAACCCCAGGGTCTCTGAACAGCTGGGGAAACAGGCACGCGGGCCGACCGCCGCCTCTTTCACAGAGAAGTGTCAGAAGTCGGTTGACAAGCTGCCACTTCCCAAAAACACTGGAGTCCCCTGAGTCAAGAGGGACGTCCAGGGACAAACTAGGGGTCTTGATTAAGCCTTAAAGAGAAGAGGGCGCCCACCCCCAGGGCCAGGGGGGGCGACGAGGGCTCGCACCCTCCACGGGCCTGGGCCTGACAAGGCGAGGCCCCGCAACCCCCACCCCCCGCCCGGAGCCGGGGGGCCTCCCGTGGCGCCGTGGGGCAGGGTGCCCCCCCCCCGCCCAGCGCCCAGCGCAGGCACGGCCCAGCCCCACCCCCACGGCTGCCAGGGTTAGCTCCATCACCGAGAGACTGAGTTTGAGACGGAAACGCTGCCTGAGGAGCCGACGGCCCCCCTCCCACGCAGACGCCCTCCCCCGCCAGCAGGACCCGGGACAGTGGAGGCACCGAGTGTCTCCTGAGGAGGCGCCCCACCCGCACGCTGGCGAGGACACCCCCCGCCCCTGTGGACCCCGGCCGACGCGGCTGCCTGCTAAATACAGACGCGAATGCTGCTGGGATAAGCCTGTGCAGGGAGACCTCAGCCCCCCAGAGAGGGGCCCAGCCTCTGCGCAGCCACAAAAGACACGCTTGCGCCCTCCAACCCTGGCAGCCGGCGCTCTCCTCACCCGCCGGCACGGTGACCGGGTGACCGCGGCTCCCCCGAGCTCGGTGCAGCTGCGCGTCCGGCCCCAGGGCTCTGTGACTCAGCAGAGCCGGCCTGCCCTTTCACACGGAGTCCTCCACGCGGAGGCTGCGTCCGGGGAGGGCCGGCCGCGCTGCTGAGCAGGGCTGCTGGCAGGATCGCCGCTCCCCCGGGCATGGCGATGCCGCGCCCAGGCCGGCGCGTCGGGGTCGCCGGGCTCCGTCCCCTGGGGGGCCGCATAGAGGGCTGCGCGGTGGGGGGACGGAGCATCGGCTCTGCTCCCCCTGCGGGGACGGCCGTGCCCTGGGCGGGGCCCTGCAGGCTGCCCTCCGGGTGCCCGCGTGGCAGAGCCACACGCCCGGGTGCCGGGACCGCGGGGACCACGCAGGGCCGGACGCCCTGCCCGCGCTGCCCGGCCGCTCCAGGCCCCTTGGGTGGGTCCTCGCCTCCTTCGACCACCCCCTGGGTGTAAGCAGCTACAAGGTCGGCGGGGGGGAACAGACTCCTGCTCCATTTTAACTGCCGAGGTGACGGAACAGACAGGGGCCCGTTAAACTCCAAGGAGTGAAGAAAATGTACAAACGCACCAGGCCCAGGGGACAGAGCCTCTCGTGCGGGCGGTGCCAAGGGCGCTGGCCCACGGACACCCAGCCGGTCCCAGGGTAAACCCCAAGGGGCGCGGGGCAGCCGCGTCAGCACCGGGGAGGGCGCAGGGCCCGGGGGGTCTCCAGCGGGGGGCACGCGCGTCCGGCCGGTCTCGTTTTGTCAGGCGAACCCAACCGGGGACTGCTCGCGAGTCACAGCCCCGGGCCTCCCCAGCGGACAGCCCACGGTGCCTGCGCGGCCCGGCCAGCGCTCCGCCGGCCTGAAGACGCTGGCTGGGCCGCCCTGCCCCCGCTTCCAGGGGACACGCCGCCGCCTGTGCTCCGTGCCGGTCCCCTGCTCGCCCCGCACCAAGGCCCCGCGGCCTGCGGGGCTGCGCCGGGGTCTTCGTGTCGGCTGCGGCGCGCCTCCTCCTCTGGTTCTTCAGCATCGGCTGCTCTGACCACGCGCCCCCTGCCATGAACACCCGCTGGAACTGCGGCCGGCGG